GAGTTTCTTTTACCATTTCAATCTTTCAGTCTGTCGTTTTGTCAGCCTGACCATATTTATGAACAGTTGTGTAAAGGCAAGTTTGCATTGATAACTAATAGTTTAAAACTGGCTTTGTAGTCCTGCTCTGCCTGTTGATTAACTTAGCCTATTTTTGGGCCATTCTGCTCCCAACAGTCACTGTGTCGCTCCGTCTTTCACCCTCTGGCTCTGTGGTTATGAGTGACAGCTGGCTACACACATTAGGGATGCTTTGCAGATAAGTAGTGCTTCCACAGTAATATTGGCATTCATGGTCTGGACTTTAAATAAGATCAGATAATATTAATCGGGTATATGTGTAGGTCATAAAAAAGTCTTCTATTTGGGTGTGAAGGGGTTTATTCAAACTTCTTTCAAAGGGTTGACACTGTCTTTTTATGTCCAAGGTGTCCAATCAAACACTGCTTTAGCAAGCTTGATCACATTTTCAGGAAAAACATAGATTATCATGACAGAAACAGAAGCTACATTTTAAGGAAAAGCACTCTGTTATGATGTTTTAATTTTGTCAGCACTAAATATTACTAAAATCAGAAATGGATGATTCAACTCTTGAAATTTTATTTCAATAACATTTTTTTTGCATGCGGTTGCTATTACCTGGGGACCTCAAGAATAATCACTTGTTCAGATTTTGTGTGGCGCATTACCACTTGATAAGAAAAATCTGCAATTAACTCAAATTTACCGACATTTCTGATTCATACATTAAAGTGGCCTTCATATTATGCAGAAAGATGGTTTACAACTTCCCACACAGCCTCAAATGAAGAACAGAGACAGGACGTCAAAAACTATGGAAATCACCACCCCATATCAGAGACTGACTGAGTAATCAGTCAACTGATTTAAAGCATTTGAATACCATCTGCTTCATTAAGATGCGTCAATGTGAGTTTTAATCCATTTCTCAACTAGTTAAAAACTCCCCAGAGTGCCTGTAATATAATTTCTGATGACTCTGATGTACAGAATTACACAGATTAGTAATAATTTTACTATTTAGCTTGGATATTTCATTCTTTCTTACTAATTTCAAACAGCAAAGGAAGCCAAAAGTCCTTTGTGGCAATATTTTACTAAGCCCCCAATTTTTCCATCTTTATTTGTATCATAAAACAATAGAATTACAGACATGGTTGTATCACTTGAGATCCAAAACACAGCAATAACTACAAATTATCAGAGGTCCCCAGGTGAGGGTAATCCTATGCAAATAGGACTAAACATGCAAACAAAGAAAATGAAGTGATAGATTTGGAAAAAAGTACTATGTCATGATTTGTTTAACATACAAAAGAGAAGTAAGTGTAAAAAACTGATGACATAATCTTGAAGTTGGTACATAATACAAGTTTTATAGAGAAGAAAATGGCTTGCAATGCTGAACTGTTAAAATGGTTCTCAAAGGAAACACTTTTATGATCATTGAAGGTTTTATCCATAACTTCATATTTAATTTTCTGTTTCTGTGAAAAATGCAGATGATTTAAAAGCTTAATTTCTCTGTTTGGATTTTGTAAAGTGCATGGGTTCAGATTTGCTGACTGTGATGCCAGAGAGGCTGTAACAGCTTACCGACCTTGCCCTCTTGTGCATGTGTGCGTTAGTGTGTGTGTGCGCTTGTGTGTAAGTCTGAGTAATAGAGCAGCATTTGGGTAACATTTACATTTACCATCTGCCATCCACTCTTTTACCCCTCCTCATGTTTTCCACCTCCATCTTTCCCTATATACATAATACGCCATCTGTTTACCTCCTGTTTACAGCACCATTCGCCATTGTAACTTCTTTACCTTGCTCTAAAATCAACTCTGCATTTTATTTGAAAGGAAAATGGTCACAGGTTGAGAAGCCCGACTGTTGTCATATCCTTGTGGTCATCCTTCTGTGTTTAGAGATATCTAATCGATCTTTATCATTTTAATGTTTAATGACAGGACAATAGACATCAGCTTTTTCAGAGGCACATTTATCAATATTTTGGATCAAAATTTACTAATTTAAATACTGCTTTAAGATAGCTAGTGCAAGCTTACGTTACATGATATCAAGTAGCTAATAGTGAGGCAGTGCTAAAACTCCTCCATGTCATCTGAACACTACCACACAGTAAGGTTTAGCTGTAAGCCACCTCTTATGGAGCTTTTCCACTGCAAAGAAACAGGATTTAGTCCTACATAATCTAACATTGTTTGATCAGTAAAACTATCTGTATACATGAATTTCGACCCTGTTCACTTAACCTGCTGCCAACGATTTGTGACAGTTTTTTTTCCTCATAATTATACAACCTAAATCTCACAATACTTTCAACTTTATTTCCTACCACTTAGTTCTGTTTTATATTTTCAACTTAAAGCTCCTATGTGAACTTTTTTACAATTTACTTAATTGACTGAAATTCATAACAGACACTTTTTAACAATGTGGATGACAAAATTAGCAAAAAAGGCTTTGACCACAGAGGGCGCCAAAGTTGATATAAACAAAAAGTTCCCCAGAGGAGCTTCAATTTTTAAAACCGTTTTTTCTCTGTCTTTTCATGTGGCCCTCATCCACAGGCCTCATAACATGGGACATAGTCCAGCATTGTTGCAGCAGACAGAGTCAGAATAAGGTGTTTTTCACCATTCCTGCCTCCTCATAGTGGATTGAAGCACTGTAAATTCCTACAGTGTAGTTATGGGCCCTCTTGGTAATAGTTTCTTTCACTTCAAGAGGTCCTCAAGAGGCATCGGTATCAGTTTTGGTCTGTTTTTTAACTGAATAAAAACTCCTCACGGTGCCTTTAATGTTAAAGAAAAAAATCCTTTGAATTCTGGGTTTAATAACACATCATAACTCTCACAACTTTACCTGGTTATGAAAGTTGATAAAGATCTTAGTCTTTGTGTCATTAATTAGTGTAATTTCTCTAATTCTTAATTTGGTAACACTTTATTTGACGCCTATCTCTATAACACATTATTAATATATTTATAATGTGCTATAATCATGTTATAGCACTGTATAACTATAGTTTAATACTCATAAATGATCATAATTCTTTCTAGCAATAAACACAACACATTATAAAACATTTTATCATGACTTACAAGGTCAGGTATTATAATGTGTTATGACTGTTAAGAACAGTTGCATTGCAGTATCTATATAGGCATGTGTTATGATTATAACATGACCTCGGTCCGGATCCGGACTGCGTGAGGGTTCTGACCAGACCCATGACCAATCTCTGATAAAGTCACGAGAACAGACATTTTTCCATGGAGCATTCTCCGAGGGTCACGGGCGCTGCTACTCTAGTTAATACGGCAGTAGCGTCACTCAGTTGAGCAAGTTGAGCAAATCAAAACTTTTGTCTACGCTGCACAGCCAGCGCACCAGAGCAGAGAGGAAGAGACAGTGCGAAGAGAGCATGGCTTGATCAAAAGTGAGAAAAGTTGAGGAGGAAAACCGTTGTTTTATAGATGAATGGATGGAGAAATTTATGTTCATTCTTCCAGCAGACAGTTCAAAACCAGTGTGCCTCACTTGTTCCGAAAACGTTGCATTAGTTGAAAGTGGCAACGTAAAGCGTCTCTTCAAAACAAGGCACAGCTCTTTGGAGCAAAGTTGGTCCCCGAGGTCTGAGCTGAGAGCACGCAAAATAACCGAGCTCCGTGCCCAATGTGACAGGTCTACTTATTATGTCACTTACTTCACTAGCAGGGCAGTCACATGCCTATTTTTGTCATTAAGAGAAATTTAAAAAAAAAAAAAAAAAGGAAAAAAAAAAGAATAATCAAAAATGAAAAGATGGTGTCCCAATTTGTCCCAACTTATTTTAAGTTTATTTTAAGCCTTCAATTCTTTAGGGTGGGACCTCTTCAATTTAAAAGAAAATGGGGTTTTAGGCTCCGTTTGCACTTAATATCATTCTAATGTTTTTGTTTTCTTTAATCTGAAATAAAGGCCTCAAATTTATTTGACTGTGAATTTTTTTAATGGTGAAACTGCTGCCTGTTTACTACATAATTGCACTCTGTTAAAAGTGAAAAATATAATTGAAACCATATGAAAATGCGAACATAAGGTAGACACAATCATAACACACCAGCTGGACTTTGGTTCAGACCTTTTATCTGACCTTTCTCAGTGACTTTTAATCGGATAACCCTGCTATAAAGCATCATGATCATTTATAAGTGGTTATAGCTATTGTTATACAGTGCTATAATGGGATTATAATGGATTATACATATATTTATACTATGTTTTGGAGATAGGGGTAAAATAAAGTGTTACCCTTAGTTTTGAAAATGTCTTATAGATGCATTTATAAGGCTTTATAAATGTGCTTTTGATGCACTGTAAGAGGTGGTTCATACAAAGTGTTACCCAACGTTTTCGGTCCTTGGATTCTTCAGAGGAAAATTGCTGCTCTGTTTATTTGGTCAGTTTAACTTAAGAGCTCTTTGCTAACTGTCATTTAATAAGACTTGACAATATGACACATGATGTGGAAAATCCTTTGTGTTGCTTTTTGTTTTGCATAAAAACTGTGCTGAAGTATATTGAGTGACTGTTAAATAAGTTGACTTCCAAATATGCTCACTCCAAAACTAAAGCTGCACAGATTTTTACCCAGATGGGCATGTGGCCTACACCCAGACTAACAGTCTGTAATACTGACACTGGCCAAAGACCTTAAGACCCCTGCATAGAGGCGGGTTTCAGAGTGAGTGACAGCTTGTGTTAAGAGCCAAAATAGCCACATTTCAGAGGCTGCTCTTCAACCCTGCTGGCCATTTTTTCCCATCCCATCTTCTTTTAACCTTCTGGCCCTTGATTCAGCCTTGATAGCTTCTTGAAAATAAGGAGAGATAACCAGCGCTTACTCATCATCATTTCTGCTGATGTTTCAGTTCAAGTATAAGGCCACCTCGTGAGGAGGGTAGACCCTGCTAGATTTGGTTTCTGAGGAGAGTTGGAGGGTGTGTATGTGCTGAGAGAGATAGCCAGGGGTTAGGGGGAGGGGCAGTAATTGAAATGGGGTGTCATTCATCAGATTACACGGAGACTTCGGTGTGGTGAGGGTCTGCTGTGTGTTTGTGTCAGCCAGCTTGACAAAAAGGCCATGGCAGATCATTCCTCTTCTGCCGGGCAGCACATGAAAGAAAAAGAAGATGGAGAAAAGAGCACTCGTTTATTTTGTCATTTTCCACTCTGCCCTTTAGTCCTCTGAAAATCGCCTCCCATTTGATTCTGGGAGACAAACAATTGGCACAGTCAGGTCCCCCTTGGCCTCCAGTGCTCGTGTGTGTACGAGTGTGTCCATCCTCACTTTGTGGTCTTCACTGATAGAATTTTGTATCAAAAGCCATTTTTGGACCACATGAATCCATCCGGTGGGGATCTTTAAACTCGTCTTACCTTTTCCGACACACACACACACACACATACACTCACAGCCTTGCCAACTAAACTCATAATTATTCTCAACTACTTTAAAGGAGCCCAGGGAAGGAGAAGTGGGTCTGATTATTAAGGAGGAAAAAAGGGATCAAAGTAGTGTGCTTTAGCTCAATATACCTTCCTATCAATGGTCTCCTCACACAAAAGAGCCTCGCCTTCAGAGAAGCCTTTGAAGGGTGAATGCCGTTACACGTCTTCTGAAATCGGATATTACTAGTTATTTCATCACGTGTGCTTTAAAGGCACATGATTTGATTGCAAGGACGCAGTACGATGAAATGCCATGGAGGATGCTATTATAAATTAATGGACACGCTTCTTTTTGAAATACGATGGGCGAGGGTTGAAATATTGAAGGGTCGTTTTTTCGTGAAATGGGTGGAGTAATTTATTTCGAACCATCCAAGTTGATGAAGTCCTCTTTGTTTTAATAACTTCTTCTGCCCACATTTTGACTCATTCTGCAACTTAGTGATGTTAGTGGGCTTTTGTATATTATTGGCAAGAACTCAATGGTCCATTGGGTTCAGGGTTAGAAGTCCACCAATGGTTTTCATCTCCTTTGCTGCATTCACCATTTGCTTTCACATGATTGATAAATAGCTAAAGGCCAAAAAATATAGATATTTTAAAATAAAATAAAGAGATCTAATTTTAAGTGGGGAAGAGAAAGTCTGTAGTCTATTGTGCAACAAAAATCATTGAATGTTTATGTAATGTCAGGAATTATGCAAGTGGAAATTTAGTTGCTCTTTTGATTGGTTAAAACAAGTGGTTTTAATAGATGCACACTTTATTTGACAACCATAAAGTTTCAATGCCCTTCACATAAACTGTTGAATAAACAGGTCAAGACTAGATCTTATATATTTCTTTAATTGGAACCACAATGACCCCATTAAGCCAGTTAAACAAGAGAATATGGATACTGCCTTTAAATCAAGTAGCCTAGATCAGTAAAGAGTTTTGGTGTATGTAACTCGACTATTTATTAATGTACTTGAGTCCATCTTTATTGCATCCATAAGTTATAATGAGTCCAAAGTCCCACCTCAGCTCCACATCTTTACTTGACAACGCCATAGAGATCACGCCAATGTTTAATACCCACTGTGGTTAAAATGTGGTAAAAACAGATGGAAACTATTGTTGAAATGATGGTGAAGGATACTAGGTTCCATGACTGCAGCTATGCTGTTGGTCTTTTGCAGGATTAAGTCTTAGTGGCCTGTATCCTTTATGGTGTTGCTCCCTCATAGGCTAGATTCATCGTAGACCAGGTCCTTTGTAGACCGGATCCTTTGTTGGTTGCATCCTCTGTGAGCTGGGTGATTCAAAGGATACCTCCTCTGAATGGGGTCATAGATACAGACACAAACTTTAGGACTTTTTCCTTCATGAGAAAATGACCACCGCCCAACGAATGGCGGGGATGAGAAACTTCTGAAAGCTTTATTGTGTTATTTTCAAAAAACACATTACGAACACTGTGTTTGTTTTTGTCAACATTAACTGCCGGCAGTTTGGGTTGAAGGACATTAATGGATTCTGATGAAGGACTCAACAAAGAATGATGATAACAGGAGATGAAAGACAGAGGACCAGAGAGCATAGACAGAAATGGATGTGGGGATAAGATGCTTTGCATTGTTTATGTTAATGGATTTGTGATGCTACTCACTAAGAATTTATGACAGCTTGTTGATGTCAGCTAATGGAGGGAGGAAGGAAGCTTAGAGGGATGAGTAAAACAAGTAAGGGAGGAAGTGAAAAGGACAGGAGTATGTAGCCTTTTACCACTGTGTGGAAACTTTAAAAAATGATTCATTTTACAAGTTTAAAGCAGACACTGTATAAATCCAACATCAGAACGAGCTCCAAAATGCATATACTGTAAATCTTGCTACTCTTGGTTCACAAGTATGTTCATTGTAGCCTCTAATGCTTTTGTGGTAGATGCACAAAGTTTCAATATGTTATGAGACACTGAAACTGTGTTAAGAAGTTAAGTTCAGGGAGAAATTATCCACAAATCTTTTTTTGGGACCAAAGCAGATGAGTTTTAAACTTTCATTTCAGACAGAAACTTTAAGGAGAACATCCTTTTATACTGCTAAACTGTGTGGATCTTCAGCTACAGTTTTAGTAATAAAGTCAGTTGAGTCTTTTGTCGCTGAGCACAGGCCATTTTGAACTGTGTGTCTTGGTATGCGTGTGTTGATGGGAGCTGGTTTTCTTGTTTCAAATAATTCCATCAGTTTAATTCACCACCAGGGAAATCTTGATTGTGAAAGTCACAATGAGCATGGCTTGACATTTGCCTTCTGTAGAGGGTGTGAATTATGTGTTTCTGTGTGTTTGTCATTTGAAAATCTTCCCCGTATTTCAAAGTTTTCAAGACATCTAACAGTTTGGATATGATAGTGTAAGTTCAGGTTAGGATCAGCCCAAAGTGCGTCCATTGGTCCTTAGCCAGCCAATGTCAGCTGACAGCTCAGCTACTTCACTTCTCTGCAATTATCGAAACAGGCTGCTCCCCCTGCCAACCACTTTACAAACTACCTCCACCTCAGCTCCTCCTTTTTACACTGTGTCTGGTTTAACCAGTGTCATTTCATCTATGCACATGCAGTAGAGGAGAGGTGTGCCCTCTCTGCTTTGGCGTTCTACACACTCACCCTAACAGAGATTGTTTGGGCCCAGTAGCTCCATCGGCTAACTCATTCAGTGTCAATGACTGATTTGAACAGATATTTTTATTTGAGTACCATTAAGAGATTATGACAGATTTTTCAGGGTTTTTTTTGTTTTCCGCCAGAGGAAAACTCCCCAACATGCGACGAAGTTTGGAGTCATTCTGAACGCAGAAGAGCTGACAAAAACTTCATAACCATGTTACAATAACAAAAACAAGTACTTGCCAGTGAGAAGTGTGCCATCAAGTGTGCCATTTAGCCTGGTTATTGAGTGTTTTTTTCTCTATGAGGAGAGTAGGAAAATGCCAAAGTTTTCACCTAAGAGCGAATGGTCTCGGCGCATCGGCTCCCGTGGGCGCTGTGCTACCGTCTCTGAATCCATTGGAGATCCTGGTACTGGACTTTAGTCAGCAGACAATCAAAGAAACAATTTTCCAGTGTGTCATTGTGCCGCCGGTGCCGTTACTTTTGAGCGAGACTGAGCTGGAATTCAGCGACAGTCCCGGCGAGAAGGATGCGAGCAGTCTGTGTGGTTCACATCACTGGATGAAAATTGCATAAATGAACCTGGCACTGAATGAGTTAATACTCCAATTCCAGATGTGGAAAATTTAACATAAATCAGATTTAATTCAATTGTGCTTCTTTTTTCATTGGAATGCACAAAAGGAAGACAGATCTCTCTACATTTACCTTGTGAAGCCTGGCTCTATGCGTATCAAACTACTGCTGCCTCATACACTTTGTGGCTGCAATGTGATCGTATTGATCTGTTCTGGCTGTGTGATTACAGCCCTTTGGGTGTAATATCACTAAGAGCTTTAAAACCTCACAGATTGACTTTAACCTTCTCTCTGTCACCTCCAACACACTTACAGACCTTTTCATTTGTCATGTTATACCACGGTCTTTCACCTGGGATTTCATTAGCCTGTAACAGCCCATGTGGGACACAAATCAGGAAATATGCTCTGTGCTCGCAGCTTTGAATATTTCTCTTTTTTTTTATTTTTACTTTCACCTTGTTAACTTTCACTCAACCGTTTTAGCCTTTATTAAATGTAGAATCTATTTTTTAATAACTGAGCTGGAATTGTTCCACTTCTGTTTCTGTAATGTTTCTAGTCGTCTGGGATATCTTCCAGTTTCTTACCTTTATTATTTTAGTATTCCAAATGGAGTCGTCTGGTACAAAACATTGAATTCAAGATCGTCTGGTAACATAAGTTTATCACTTACATAAGCCAAGATGGATAGCCCATGGGTGAACTTCCAAATGTTTGTTTTACAAAGTGATACCCCACTCAGAAGAGCAACCCAGCAAAAGATATTGCCTTGCATGATATGTTTTGTGGAGAGCAGTGGGGTTTTTTTTTCCAACGTGGTGCAGCAAAATCTCACCATTGAAGTTTAGCTTTAGTTCAAGCAGAAACATAGACTTGATGCCTCTTTCATTCATATAGTCCCCTGACTTTTTATGTCTTTATGTCTGCTGCCAAAATCTGGTGCAAAAGTGCTCTGTAGACTTCCAGTTTGTAAACACTGGAGCAGATTTTGGTGTCTAAAGTGCTTTAGTTCCTGTTCAGCTCCAGCCTAAGCAGTTAGTCCTCTTGTTTTGCTGTAAGCTATGGTTGTAGAGTGTGGGAAGTAAAACAGGTTCCTACAACCAACAGACAGTCATCTGGGGACAATTTAGCCTTGAGAAATGTCTGAAAATGGGATAATGTGAAGTAAAAGGGTGATTACGTGAAATGGAATCCTAATAGGATTGGACAGGACCCAGTCATCTGCTTCTACTGAGAGGGAATAGAGGTAGATGCAGAAAGAGATAGATGGACAGAGGTGAGACTGATGGAGCAAAACGTCTGCAGCAGCAATCCAGAGAAACCTACAGGATGAAGACTTGGGGCTCTATTTTCGTGCGCGCCGGTGAGGCGGCGGAGGGCGGCGAGCCCCGCGCAGTTGTATTTTCGTCTGGCGGAGCCCAGCGTAAGGCCAGTTTGGTATTTTCGTGGCATGAGCCGCACGGAGGCGAGCCGAGATCCGCCAAGCTGGGCGTGGTGGCGTGGCAGGGGGAGGTGTCGACAGAATCAGCTGGCGCAGTGACATTTTCGTGCTCGCCAACGGCGTGTAAAGTGCGCTGAAAGCTCGCCGATTCAAACCTGGTCAGCTTTCAGCGCAAGGCGGAACGCAGCTGGTCTTGTAGTATTTTGGTAGACCGGCGGCGTATCGACATACGTCACTGATGCCTCACCGGCAGGTTTCCACAGTGTCAGGCACATTTCAGCGCAATAAATAATCATCAACAACTATTAATCTGAGTCAGCACATACATTTAGATCTATATCGATATATTCTGATCTATATCTGATCTGATGAGCGCGTTTGGCACGCGTTTGGACACACAACCTGACCGAATCAACACAGCTGAAACCGCATCAAATTAAATTAAATATATAGTAAATAAACACACATGATGAAGTTAACAAGATATGTAATTCGTCTCCCTCCTTTTCTTTCTTCCTCTTCCTCTTATTTCTCGCACAGCTCGACCTGGACACGTCTCCGTGTCCTCTGTCCGTCTTGCTGCTGCTGCAGCTGAACAGATGATTTGTTTCAGTGCTCAGATGCGTTATCTACTTTAAGCCGACATACGGATATTATAATATTCAGTTTTGTGAGCCAAATTTATTTTATATGCCAACATCTATGAAAGAAAGAGCCAGGCCACGGAGCGCGATGCGTCATTTACGCACAGATGGTTCCGATTTTAATGCCAGTTTTGGAGTTTATGTTGTGATCTGTGCGCTAAACCCACCTTTGTCACGTGAGGTTTGAATATGAGCAACTTTATGTGAGTGTCTTTATTTGTGGAAACGGGTGTTTGTCTTACCAGTGGGTCCAACATTACGCACACTAAATCTATCTGTGCTCAGATGAGAGAGTGTGGAGGACACTTGTTGAGGCAGCTGCCCTCTGTCGCCATCGTGTGGCATTAACTGTCTTAAGACATCTCTTGATCTCTTTGACTACTTCATGAAAATAGTAATACGCCTCGCCGGTGGCGGATTTAAAGGCAAGGAGAGGAGCCTATGTGATTGGTGAAAACAGGTCTCGGCTGTGTTAAACCAACTACACGCCCTTTCTCCTCCCCGTCTACGACTTATGGTGCTGGGAGGAGCTGAGTTAGGGAGGGGGGATACTTACACCGGGCTGCGCGGCTCACCAAAATACCAAAATGTGCTTGGGAACGCCTTGTCAGCGCGGCGGATCTGACTGACGCTGGGCTTGCGGCACGTCTCCGGCGAGGCACCAAAATAGAGCCCTTGGTGTCACTGACTCTAATAGGACATGATGATCGAAAGTTAATAACACAGACAGAAAAGGAGGGAAAAGTGCTTGATGTGATAATTCCTCTGGGGATCCAAACCTCTAGCAGCATAACCAAGAGCTGGTCCTGGCCTTAACCCGCTCTAATTATGAGCTTGATTAAAAAGGGAAGTCTTCAGTCTTTTCTTAAAGGTAGAGAGCACACCTGCTCCACGCACATGATAACTTCTCCTGATAATTGAAACCTCGCCCAGTCCACTTTTCTAGACTTAAATAAACATACATTTGTCTGTCAGCTCAGCAATCTGATACAATCTGGTTTTTAACTTTACCTCTTCACTTTGTCAGTTTCATTTCTAAAGATCATGGTCTAGTTGAAAAATGAGTAGCAGTGCATTTAAAATAAAGTCTTCTCTGTAAGGACTCCTTCCAATACTGGCGAATAGCTACTACTACAGGCTATACACGCCTAATGGTGCCAGTCAATCGCCGGTGGCTTCCAAGGTTGAGGAACCTGCTCCTGATTGCACCTATCATCCTTCTAACAGGATGATATGAGCCTCGGGAAAGATAACCACTGTTTCCACCATCAGGCATGTGTCCTCCTTTAACTGTCCTTGAGGAGCATGCTGAATCAGTGCTATTTGCTCCAGTTTCTTGCTAAATCTCAAACCTTGTAAAAGCCGAAGTGAGTGCGTGGATTTGAAACCACCTGGGCGTCATTTTATCGCATGAGCATCTATTGTCTTGTCGTCTGGCAGACAAAATCTCTCACGCAGGCATAGTAGACACAGTGAAGTTCTGCTCTACATAAAGATACAACAATGACTTTTTGCTATATTTTTCCTCTGTCTCTGTCTCTCTCTCTCTCTCTCTGCTGGGGATGAAGGGAACAGAGGGAGAAAAGAGCCCATGGGCAAAAGTAACAAAACACGCAACAACAGCCCAATGTAGGCTAACATCTGTGTATATGAGAGAGAGAGAGAGAGAGAGAGAGAGAGAGAGAGAGAGTGTGTGTGTGTGTGTGCACTTTCCCAGGCTGATTTTTCTACAGGGGGGCAGGCTGCAGCTTTGCAAAGCACATTAAATAAAATCAAAGTTTTCAGGGCTTTTGGGGGGATTTTGTACTTTTAACTCATCTGTACCGTGCCTCAGAGTTGATTCCTCTTATCCTGTGTTTGACCTATCAGTGTTGTGCATCTCCATAAAAGGCCCCATAAATCATTGCAGGTGTCCGTAATGTGCCTGCAGGTAATTAATTGCTTTGGTCTTTGAGCCAAGCTCAGTTGAGTACACAGCAGTGAGACAGGAATGAAAAACACTGGCTTTTGTTCCCTCCATGTAGTCCTTATTTTGTTTTTCATCTTCTGTCAATTGTAGTCTTTCTTTTATAATTACACCCCCCGTTGTTCATTTCATTTCAGTATAAATGACTGAATTAATTTCAAGATCAAACTGTCTGTTACGCACAGCTTCAGTATCCCCGGGCAGATTTTGCTAAGTGACATTAAAACAGGGTGAATGGTTGCTGTCACCCTGACAGTTTGGCAGCTCACAACTCTCTGACCTTACTGACAGGATTGCCCACTTAGACGCTTGATTTAAGGCAATAGAAAGGCTTCAGGTCAGCAGCATGAACAGCACATCAGACAGAGGTGTTTTTTTTTTTTTTTTTTTTTTTTTTTTTGCTTTCTGGCGTTACGGAAGCTTTCATTTAAAAGCAACATCCCAAGTGGGTTACCAGGCCAGGTGAAAGGTTCGCTTGTGCCCTGGACAAAGTGATTCAAAAGCACCAAAGTGACTTTTGTGGTCAGGAGTATTTGCCCCTGTGCAGTATTCGGGTACATAGGGGGACAGGAATGAGCAATCTAACATCCTGAAATCACAACCCTGCTGTGGCATTGTGTATGGAGACAAAGAAAAAATTATCAGTCCCTCTGGTCCCTCTGTCCCAATAGACACTCAGTTTTATTGTGTCATAAAAAAGTGTGTTGCTGCAGCAGGTGCATCCTTCATGGCCTCACTTATCCTGTGACTCTTTGCGCAATAATACAATTGTGACGCAAACATCCAAACCCCCAAAAAGTAGATCGACTTAATTCAGTTTGGCCTGACTGGTCTATGAAGGTCTCAATGACTAAGTCCTTCAAAGGCTGCAACCCCTGGATTAGGACACAACTCAAGTTTTTGCAGGTCTGTTGTTCAACCACCCTAGCTTTCTCGAGATTCAGACATTTCTCTTTACTTTGTGGTTGGTTTCTACTGTCTGATATTGTAGTGCGCTAACTTTGTTTGAGCTTGCGCACATTATTAGTGGACGTGGAGCGTGCCTCACAATATGAGGGAGCAGCATCTGCCTCACAACCAATCAGCACAAGTGATCAAGATCCGCCTCGCAACCAACCGGGTTGGGGGAGGCGGAGAATGGCTTTGTTTACAGTCAGAAAGAATGGGCTGCTCAAAAAGATTAAAATGTTGACTTCACAGACATAACAAAACACAGCGATAACATCATATTCCCAAATGTCATCAATAACTAATAGCTATTGACTGATATTAAAAGTTTTTTGTATATTCACCACAAAAAAAAAAGCTTAACGTAATCCTGTCTACCCCACCTTTAATCTAACAAATTATTTTTACTTCATTTATTTCAGTTTAGAAGACAGTAGATAATATACATTTAAGTCAAAACAGAGCTCACTCCGCTTTACTATTTACCATCGTGGTTTCAGCCCCATGGAGCACATGGTGTCTCTAATTCTAATGCATGAAAGGTAGTTATCCACCAGCGACCTAGGTGCAGCTCACGTTGGACCAAGGAGGAGGCTTGATAAGCTTTCCAAGTCGACTGTCGAGTCTGCTGTTTTCAGAGAACTAATTACTGAAATGCCGGCAGAGGAGAGGCTGGGGACGTTAATTAGAGTATGAAGCAAAAAGAAGTCACGCTACAGTGGCTCTCCCAGGTAAAAATTACCCCATCAATGTAGCTCCTCAGTAATTTGAGTACATTTTTTCAAAGAGGAACTAGTAATTGTAACTTTTTACTGATTGTAAGTCATTTTTCCAACATTGATGTTAAATAAAAGATGAATAGAGGTGTAGATGTAAGAAGACCTTAGTTCTGCATAGTTAACATTCACATGGTGTCGCTGTACCAACATCTCTCAACTTTGTATTCGATTGACTCAGTGAAAAGCAGATGGCATCATGTGACTATCCTAATAATTTTTTTCCTACCCTTGTGTTCCCATCACAACAAATCACCCCCGCAAACGGGGATAAATGAGCACGCCAGGGCTAGAGGCTAATTAGCTATCAGGCTAATTACTGCTTCACCATATGTACTTGTTGCTAAACTTGTAGCTCATATGGTTTCGGTTCACTGAGTAAATGTGTACCTAAATGTGTGTGTGTGTGTATGTGTGTGTATGGATGTGTGTGTGCGATGGTGGATATGAAAGGGTGCAGTGCAGGTGTGCAGCTAGCTGAGCAGTCATGTTTGATTAAAAATATGTGGCTTGATTGCGGCGTACCACAGGGAGACTGAGACGTTAATTAGCTCTGTGTGCATTCGGGTGTGTGTGTGTGAAATGTTTGCTTGTGGAGAATCACAGCGCTTAAATAACACAATCAAAGACAGCACGCTGTGGATCAGTCTGCCTCGACAGAATGTAACACACTCACACTTATACAGAGCCGCACAAAGTGTACATCTCTCACTTAGCGAGAGTGCGTTCATCCCTCCCAGTAGAACGGGCCGAGATGCGAGCAGCAGATGATGAAGCTAAGGTGATCATGTGCATGAGTGTGTGTTTTTGTGTGCTCATGTGTGTCTCATCCCTGCTGACTTAAGCAGTTGAGATGTAGAATTATGAGAGGGGACTTATTTGGGTATCTGGGACAGCCATCCAGAGCATGCTAACACACACATACGCACACTTTACTTTCACCACAACAAAACTTCCCCTTACTTTCATGTCTTTCCTTCTTTTCCTTTATTTTTGTCTCTCTGTCTCATTCTTCTGTGATATTATAGACAAACATGCGCCATCTGGGTCCGTCTTACTCTCCAATGATACTTCTGTTATTTCTTTTTGCCTGTTAGCGCTGGAAATTCATCTATTCTCACCATTTCAGACTCCTGACAGCACAGATATTCAAACACACACAAAATAATATGAAAATAAATTCTGACAGACTTAACAAAGGCACACATCACCCAAAAAATATGTGCTTTGACTTTGTATTTGTAACTACAGGCTGGTGAGCAGGTGCTACTATTTTCCATGGCTTGTTTTCTTAGCTTTGTTCTGCTTAAGTTTTAATAATTCTGCATGTTTACTGCAAAATGTTCTTGGATCACCAGGTCGTCTGCATGAAAATGAAAAGATACATTGCGGTGATAAATGATGAGGGAGCAAATAAAAAGAAAATAAAAGTGGACCTAAAATCAAACCTTGTGGCGCATGAGAGGAGTAGGAAAAGAGTGTACTGTAAAGGTTCTGTCCAAAACATAGGAACAAAACCAACTCAGTTATTTTATGTTAGCTAGGTATCAAGAAGCAAACTACTGTTTTGAAAGTGAAGTTAGTGCAAAAGTGTAAAAAAAAATGCAGTTCCTTGATTGTCCACATGAGGCAGGCTTCGAAATGTAAGGAATCAGCTACTTGATTTCTTCAAATGTATTCGACAGGGGATGACTTTTTAATGACACATTTGTTTTTATTTTACAAAGGCTGACCCAGGATTTCCACCGCATCCTGAACAACTCCGATCCGGAACAGCGGCAATTTTTGCTGTATGCCAATTCCTATTGGATCTGTTTGTGACGATAATTTTGTGGCAGATTACAATTATAGCGAAAACTCACAAGAACCAGCCGATTCATGTGCTATCGCGCGATAACGAGTTGTCTCTTGGCTGCATAGGCTAACCATAAAAGCAGTGGATTGTGTCCTTCCAGAGGAGGAAATCCACCTCCAGACTTCTACAATCAGCATCTCCGCATCCATGGTGAAATGCTATCTAAAAACCTTTCACTTGTTCATCTTCACCCGTTTGCATGGTGTGAAATACAATCTGCCTGAAACACTGAGTTTTCTATTTTGAAAAGAAGCTGGATGTTTTATTTTGTGTCTGTGCCCGACTTCCTTTCCAGCACGGGTTAATCTGTGCTGAATTTATCCAGCATGCTCCGGCGTCCGGAAAAAAATTGAACTCTTGTGATCAGCTGCAGAGTCTGGCGATCCAGTGGAAATTGACACATTGACTTGAATGGGTACGATCAGCTACGATCGGCAGATACGGCCTTTTCGTAGCCCTTCCAGATGCAGTGGAAATTGGGGGTAAGAGTTTCACATACATATGCATTACCCAGACAGGTGGATGCACTGCAGCTGTCAGCCTGTAGGGTGAAAGTCTGTCTGAGCTCCAAACTCTTGTCAACTTCCTAAAATATAACACTGCCAGGCATCAACCCTCAGCAATCAAAAGGTGGGTCTACATCCATGTTAGCCGAGGCTAGCCAGACACCACAGACATTGTGCCCGGTTTTCATGACATCTTTCAGCCATAGTTGAACAAACTCAAACAATGTCAGAGCGAATGATTGGAGGGAAGTTCGTAGTTGATAATTAGTCCAGTACATCCTGAGGTTAACAGTCGAGCTGACCTGTTAGCATGGTTCAAAATCACAGACACCACTGCAGTAAGATTGGTAAGATACAAACTGACATGGTGGCAGTAAACAAGGGAAAACTCACTCATGACCGGAGGTGTGCTTGTTTGTGTACACAGACAAATACAAATCCACATCTATGACTGTGAGGCTGGCCTGAGTCAAGGCACTGTGATGGTGTTATATAATGGGGCCAGCCAAGCACGGCTAAGCAGTTTTATCTAGGTTAAGAACAACTCTGTATGTGAGAGAGAGAGTTTGGTGTGTGTGTGTGTGTGTGTATGTGGTGTGTGTGAGGAAAGAAGGACGAGAGATGTTATGAAATCAGCTACAAGGAGAAAGAAGAAATTAGTGTAGCATAAGAGGAATGGCGAGGAAAATTAGACAGGCAGAGTAAAAAGTATAAAAGCAGACTGACAGGAACACAGACTTAAAAGGCTCCTGGAGATTTGGTTAAGTGGAAGCAAACCGCTTCTTCACACGGGCCTGTGACGGAGTAAGTCTGAGGCAATATTCAGGTCAGTTTTGGGTCAGGACTTGTGTGAGTTTTAGTTTTCAGCTACCCTGTGTGTCTAATTTTATGAAGAGGCCATTTGCTTATTACATGAAAGACAAGCTAATTTGCAGTCCTCTGTAGCCAGGATGGATTAGAGGTGTTTGGGATGCTTATTCCTCAACCAAGTTTAGTTTCCTTTTCTTTTAAGCCTAGTCAGCTTGCCTTCCTGCTGGCTGTCGAGTGTCACATGCCACAGTGGACAGTGTGCATTTGATGCCTGTAAAAGGTTTCTAAAACAGCTGGAACAGGATAAGGTTTACCTCTATGTTACATCACCTTTCCTTTAAACAACCCAATAACAGTTGAGGAACTGTGAACGTTAATCGTCAAAGATTTGTAGGTGGATTTCTTTTCCATTCTTGATCTAAGCTGTAAAAAAAAACTGAGTAAAACTGAGAGGCAGGACAAGAGTGAAGCAACATAACATATAAATATACAAGTACATACATTTTACTAACAAACGCAGTTACCTGACATGCTTTTATCTATTTCTAATTCTGTTCAAAGTTTATGCTTTTATTTTGATATATTATCTTATGTGAATTTAAATTGTTTTATTTCCTTTACAGTCAAAGTATGCTTTAATTTTAAGCTACTTCTGGTACGATCTTAAGTTAGGGAACTGAATGAAAACTGTGAAAATAACAGAATTTAATTAGTAAGCTGAGGAGACAAAAACTCAAGTGTTGTGTTTGGATTAAAAAAAAAAAACACATGACATTTTTGTTTTTAAATGTGCTGAATTATCTCATAAAGAGCTGCTTTAATCTACTCCACAGGCAGTCCTTCTCTTTTTTGTCGGTTTTCGGTGTAGCAACCAGCCTAAAGGACCATTTGCTTAATTTTAGCACAGTACCAACGTTTTACATTTAAATAAAGACAGTTACCATCAACACCTGTATATTGTGACAGCCCTCTTCTGAGACATCCACAGATTTCAGATTGAAAAGGTTTAAGTTGGTGAAGTTTGATGTATTGTTCTTGCAAGGATCTCAAGTGTAAGTCGGACCCTTGTTCATAGAAAAACACCTGAGCCACTGCACTGTATAAAAATGTTTGATGTATTGATTCTGAATATGTCAACATGGCTTTCTTCCTTGAAACTCGTATTTCAGATACACCGGATCACAGAATGTAGAATGAGCTGAATGAACCAGTTATGCCACTCGTAATATTTATAAAACTCTTTGATTTGCAGATGTTTGTGCATACTTGCAGGCTGCGTGTGTGTGTATCTGCTTTTTAAACAGGGTACTCTTGCCAGCAGGATGTGTCTTAGTGCTTTAGTCTCCAGTGTTGCCCGGTCTCCTAAATAGATCAGGTACATGAATTCTGTCTGACGTACACACAGAGGAAGAACAGAGAGAGGAAGAAAGGGCGAGTGAAACAAGTTGTCAAGCCAAAGTGAGTGCCGTGTAGCATCTCTTTCTCTTTTCTTCCCTTCAGTGAAGTGTGGAGAAATGATAAAGGAGGACCGACAGAGTGATGGAGGGATATCATGAGCTGTTATGAGTGTGTAATGTAGAATAAATTGGGATTCTCTGTAATGGCTACTGATGTAGGCAGGGATGAATATTCACTACCTGTTAAAAATCTAATTTGCCGCCATGTCATCCTTACGTGTGGATTAAAATGGAGCAGAATTTGATTTTTCACTGTTTAGATAGCAAAAGGGAGATAAGGCCTGTGTCAAACAAGTGGAAAAATCTGATTTGAGCAGTCGCTGCAAATCCTGCCAGTGTGGAGATGAGTTTCATTACAAATTTCCTCAGGCGGTTTCACCATGGCTGACGCATCTAAATTCCCGAGCGTCCCACACTTGCCCCGCCGTGGGAAATTTAAGAAAAATGCAAAAGGGATAAAGAGAGCGGGGGACTTTACAAGGGATGGGTGAAATGAGCTCGTCTGTTATGTGAGAAAGGGAAAGTGTCCCTCTTAATTTTTGTTCCTCTGAACTCGTGTCAGTGTGTGATTTTAAATAACATCATCATTGCAGCCATTTTCTCTCCCTGTGTGGACTGGTGTTGCTGAGCAATCACTCCTTATCACATCACACATACTTCTTCCTCTCCGCTCTGCATCTTTTCAGCCTTCTTCTCTTTCCATCTTTGGAGCAGTGCTGCATTTTTAATATTCCATTTGTCTCGGAGCTGTTTGTTTAAGAGTTCCCCAATCGTTTTTTATCTGGAAACTCAAACTCAGATACATTATCAGTCGTATGTAATCCTTTAAGGTTTAAAACCATCGATTTAGCTATTTTGGGCTCATGTCTCAGCTGTGAAAACAAAGAGATGAGGACTCAAGAAAAATGTTGATAATATTTAAGAGGCCTTACCTTACCTTAGTATTTTACATAGGCCTGCAAAGACACCGACTTGTACCTCTGCAAAGACATAATTTTAGCAAAAAGGCTGCAGGGACAGAATTATGCATGCCCTGTGCTGGACCATCAAGATGAGAGGGGTTGACGAGATTGCAGAGTGGATTCAATTTCATACGGTCATAACCTCTGGGTAGTGACAAAAAAGAAAAAATGAGATAGAAGATACAAGAAGTGTTCATGCTTGAAGACAAGGTGAAACCATTACGACTGAGCATTAAAAGAAGTCCTTTGAAAGAGTCTGAACCGTCGCTTTCTGCAGCAAGATGTTTTTCATTGTATAATGAAATGTTTAAGTTGAAATGCTTTATTGCAAAATGCACTAATGGTGGAAGTCAATGTCAGACACGTAGGGCCTGAGAACTGTCTTCAAATGCAACAAAAGCAATTATGGCAACTCAAACTCACCAAACTTGGCATATGCATTCAGCCAAACTTCTATAAAATCACATCTTTCAGTTTTGATAAATGATAAACTGGCTGAGTGGACTTGGATAGTTGGATATGTTTATCTGTGCAGGATACATAGGATCTCCTTTGGTGGCGGACCCCACACAGTGGTATTTTCGTCTGGCGGAGCCCGGCACACAGCCAGTTTGGTGTTTTCGTTGACTGAGGCGTGCCGAGGTCCACCAAGCTGAGCGTGGATACGTGGTAGGGGGAGGTGTTGACAGAATCAGCTGGCGCAGTGACATTTTCGTGCTTGCCGGAGGCGTGAAAAGTGCGCTGAAAGCTCGCAGATTCAAACCTGGTCAGCTTTCAGCACAGGCAGAGCGCAGCTGGTCTTGTGGTATTTTGGTAGACCGGCCTGACCGAATTAACACAGCCTCATTCCATTCCGCTCCACGCCTCATCCCCTCCCTCCCTACGGCTTACGCCGCTGGGAGGAGCCGAGTTAGTGAGGCTGGATACATATGCTGCGCTGCGCAGCTCACCAAAATATGCTTGGGCACGCCTTGTCAGCGTGGCGGACCTGACTTACGCTGCGCCTGCGCCACTTCACTGGCGAGGAACAAAAATAGAGCCCACTGAGTTATTCTAATTGCACATTGGGAAATAAGCCCAATGTAAAGTTAGCATTAAGTCATAAAAATAGTGTTGTTGATTGATTACAATAATTAATGGCAGTTGATCACAGACATAAAAAACTTAAGTTTTTCCAAAAAAAAAAAAAAAACATTTAAAAGCAGAGATAGCTACTTGCAGCCTGTTGCAACAAAGACCAAATAGTTTAAATTTTGGGTGGCTTCTCAGATTTCCAGCAGTGCCCATGCCACCCCCTTTATCTGCCCTGCCCCTGACACACACATCTTCACACATGTAAGGGAGTTAATACATAACTTTATGGTTTTACCCACAAAATGATTGATCACTCATTGATGGATTCACCTTAAAGTCTTAATTATTATCCATTCCTTCAATTAAACTGTTTCAGTAGAAGCTAAGAGCAGTAGATACTTCCCTTACATAATCCTAATTGTCCTGTACCGGTCTGATTTCATTGTTACTTGGATTACCTGCCTCTGCTCTTACACCTGAATTCCCAACACTGACTTTCCCAAACTTTGATTCCTAATATTCAGTAATTTTGTTCTTCCTTATAGCTGCTTCAACCAAACCCTATGGACATGTTGGTGGTATTGAAACAGGGAGATAAAAGGTAAAATTCAAGGACACTGACGTGTATAATAAATCCCTGTAAAAAGATGAGTGCTGAAATATTGAAAAGTTCAAACATATATTATGTGACGGGAGAGGAGAATATAAAAATGACATAGTATTAAAGAATGAAGGCCCTAGTGGGAATTAGATTGGACAGAGAAACACATCTGCAGACTCTACACATTATCCTACCAGCTATTTGGACTTGAGTTATGGTACAATCTCTTGATTTTGCTCATCAGGTCTAAACTAATTCATTAAAGAAGTTGAAAGCTAACCAACAAAATCTCAAGATTTGGGTACAGGTGATGATTTTCTGTCCTTTACAGAGATGCAGTTGGATATAGACCCCTAACTCAGATTTGGAAACTGACCCTTCAAGAATGTTTGGGGACATAAAAAGATACAGACCCTGAGATTAGTTTTGTGTTGAGGTACCTAAATTAGAGGCAGAATAGTGTGAGACCACAATACTTACACAAAAGGGAATATAATGAAAGGTGGGGAGAGTGTTTCACCCCAGACAATGATTCTCATCTCATAAACTCCCATAAGTCACTTAGGTCATTTTAGAAGACACTGATAGATGTCCTATTTTGCTGTTGAGCTATAGGGACACAAACATTTATGTCTAAAAATAAAAAGAAAGAAAAACAGTGTCTAAAGTGCTTTGAAGTGGCATTTTCAGACACACCTTAACATCTCTGTTTCACTGGAGAGTTCTACAAGGACTTCATGTGTCTATCTGCCAATAAGCTTTATGAAGACCCTAACTATATTTTCCAGAAGGACTCTGCCCACAGCAATAGTTTTCTGACCAACACTAGACCTCAAAATAGAGATCATAATAATAATAATTTTATTTTTTCAGTATCCACCGCAAGAAGCAGGTTTTTATGTGTCATTGGTTCAAAAATATCATGTCCTGCAATACCAATTGCTTCATCATATACAATTGCATCCACAAGTCGACAGTAAAAATCATCAAACTGATATCTGAATCTAACTCTGTGAATAATGTCATCACCCCGTTGATTCATTCACACTGAATTTTTAGTCTGTTACCTGCTGCTTTCACACAATCACCTCTGATTTTACAAGTGTATCGAACTTAGGGGCTGTCAGGTAAAAAAACACCTTAAATTCAGGTGAGCAAATCTCTTCTGGAAATGTTTGGAGATTTCCACGACTGCAGTGGATGCATGAAAAAATATGTCCCCCATCTGTCCTCTTTGCTTTTCAGATTTAATAGATCTCTCTTTCTTTTTACTGTTTTTTTTTTTTTACTCTGTGGTTTCATCAAAGTCTGATGATGATCTGTGTCCCCATATTTCAGGCTATTTAACACTCCTACGTTAATCTTGTGAGAAGAAACTGGTGTTGGAGAAAGGTCTAAAGCATCTACTTCATTACAGCTTTATGACCCAGCACCACTGTCCCATCTGCCACTTACTAAATCATTGTGAAATTTCATCATCTATAATTCATTCGGACCTGGGAAGCAGTGATCAGGCTGAGGTCAAATGTCCATGCTTCGGCTGCTCGTATAGATTGGAGCAGAGGGAAGAAATTACAGCTGAAAATTTGCAGAGGTGAGTCTGCAGCTGCTCTGCCAAAATATAAATCACAAGCCTTTTTTTCTTCGCTTTAACTGAACCGTAGCCTGGTCTTAAGGCTAAATTAGGAGGGTTTGTCATCAGACCTATGTCAAACTTTTCACAACCGGCTTACTTTCCTGTTCTGTCCTGAGGTAAGATTGCTCACGGGGAGAAAAGAAAAAGTGAAAATCACCTCCAGAATCCCCTCAAAATAGTCCTCGTCAAAAATAGGAGATGGGATGAAAGCCTTGGTTTGGTACAGCTTGTCTCCTTTTAGTTATAAAAAGTATGATTTTTCAGAGTCTGCTGGGAGATTTTTCGACTGACTGAATGAGTGGAACCACATGGGAACTACCTTTCATGAAGTCTCAGCCTTTTTCTGCTGGAGTCTGTTCCACTTTAGCACATCCTTCCTTACTTCCGCTCCTGTCTTACCATAAGTGAGCTCTCTGGTGAAGCCTTTTCAGACGCTCAGAAGGCACAAAAAAAAAAAAGGGCCCCTCTACTCCTCTGTGGGTGAGCAATTCGTTGAAGGAAGGGAACGGGGTAATTAGAAGGGGATTGGCCCTCTCTGCTGGGACAGTCCTGCCAATTTTTTTTCAAATTTCATCGGGGCAACTGAGTAGCAAAAGTTTTGAGAAGTGTTAGCAGCAAAGAGACCTTCAACAACACCTGAACTTGTATTACTTATAGAACAGTATAGAAGAAGACTGTGATATTTTTACTGTCTGTACTACTGTGAGATTGCCATCATAAAAGGTTATAACTTATAATATGAACATTTAAAGAGTTAGAACTTAACCGTATGAAAAATTGTATTTGACTGGCGTATTCTCGGCTTTAGTATGGGGTTTATTTTATTGATTATAAAGTATATGCTCTTAGAACTAAGGGGATCTTACTTAGACAAAGTTACACGGCGTATGCCACACACACACACAAAAATAGCTTATTATCCCTTTTATTTCTACCAACAATAACTTAAATTTAGCCTGTTCAGCTAGGTCAGGGTGTCCAGAAGTCTCTAAAAAAGAAAAAAAAAGTTTCTATCTTAGACTTAGCTTGGATCAACCAGTCCACATCCAGGGTTTTAAACACACTTGTGCACACTTCTTTTGAGCAGTTCTCTAAGTTGGAAGAAATAACATAAATGTAAGTCTCTACCTTAGTGGACCTGGGACGCTGGGATACACGTATTCCACAAATCCTTCTGTCACAACTTTGCCATCCTCAGCTGACACTGTAAGATACCATCTGGGGCAGCAGTAGCTCAGGAGGTAGAGCGGTCGTCCAATAACCGGGAGGTTGGAGGTTCGATTCTCCCCTATCCCGATTGTGTCCTTGGGCAAAACACTTAACCCACCTTGCTCCCAGTGTGTGTCCTCCAGTGGTGTATGAATGTGACTGTTGTGTGGTGGTGGTTGGAGAGGCCACATGCGCAAACTGGCAGCCACGTTTTCGTCAGTCTGCCCCACGGCAGCTGTGACTGGTAAGGTAGTTTACCACCACCAAGGTGTGACTGTGTGAGCGAATGAATGATGTATCTAATGTAAAGCACTTTGAGGGTCTCTGATAAAGTGCTATTTGAAATCTGATGCAGTATTATCATTATCATTACATCCATGGTGTTAGGCAAGGGGAAAACTGACTGCTGTGCTGTTGACTGGTACTCCTGCTCTCAGACTTTGAGTTCATAGAGCTGTTCAGGCATGGAAATTTGCCTTGTGGCATTAGTGCATTGTCTAAAATACAGTTCCAACTGCCCTCCATTTTGCATGGACACTCTTGTATTACATCCAATACAGCTTCATTTAATATTTAGAGCTGACAAGAAATTGTGGTTCATCTCAGGGTGAAAATAATACCTTTTAGCATCAGGCAATGCCATGTTTTGGAAGCTAACCAGTTAATTAACAGCTATCCGCTTATGCTGCTGCCTCTGCATGATCCTGTTATGTTGCTGGGCAGTGAGTCCAGTTTTATTCACCGTTTAAAGTTTTCAACCCAGTCAGCAAACTTTGAGAAAGTGAGCTTCTGAGTTCAGTTTGGTGTGTTATACATGAAGCAGGGAAATGATGAGTGAGGGTAGATTAGTTCAGCTACATACTCTGGAGCCACACACTGTGTCACATAATGTAAATCTGCTTCCCTGCCCAGCTGAACTATATCTTTTGTAACATTCTGCACTGGATTGTGTCACGACTCTGTCCATGGTGCTGATTGTGGGAACACAGGGATAGAGGAGCTGCCCCGGGCACTCAGTGCAGAGGAGGCTTGGAGTTCTGCTGCTAACAAGTACTAGAGCACAATCTTCACACTCCATTCCAGTGACTTCTTTCCTGCTGTAAAGTATGCTTGCTCCAAGCTTCCATGATTGCCTACTGCAGCATTATAACCTGTGTACGATAGGAACACACATCAGTTTAACCTATAGATACTGTCAAAAACTGTATGTTGAATGAAAGAACATAGAACAAAGATTACAACTGGAAAAATACTGTATAAATTGATGTTTATATGGCATCAAATTGCTTTATTTTTTAAACTATAATATAATGCATGAAAAGTCTGCTACCTTTCATGTTTTTCTTTGCATTTCCTCTTTTGCAATGCAAATCAGATCACCAACCAGGTACTGCCGCAGCAGGGTGGAGACAGAGAACAAAGCAGAGGGCTTCATACGTCTGCTCAAAACCCTGCCGTCTGCCCATCAGAAAACTGATGCAGACGTGAGCTTTGATGGGAAGCAAAGGAAAAACATGTTATTTATTGATAATTCTCAGTAAGACATAAAAATTTTCTCCTGTATCAGTGTGACAGAGGTTATTTTAAGAATGCAAGTCTGTGTGTTTTGGAATTTCAAAAGGATAAAAAAGCTTTTTAGGAGCTTTTTTCAAATTCGGAGCCAAGAATGTAACAAAAACACAGGTTATTTGGTCATCACTTTCTTTGTATGAACTTACTAATTCATTTACATATTTTCTAAACTGCAAGTGCATTGAAGGATCCGTGCATGCAATGGCATATCTGTGTTTAAATCTATGAATTTGTGGATCTGCACATGTGTTTGTGAATATTTCAGACATTTCAGACATAGACATTTGCAGATATTGTTACACAAATGTTATTCTGGTTACAAACCTGCAAGCACATTTGTGACTTTGCATGTATATTTGCAGACCTGTTTGCACATTTGTGGGCTCTGTAGGTGCATTTGCAGATCTGTGTATAAATCTGTATGTACTTAAAAAAAAATAAAAAAAATGAATGCACAATCATTTATTGACCTTTGCAATCATGGGTCTTCATTTGTAGATCTCTTGGCTCATGTGGGTCTATTCACAGATGTAGTATTAGCTCTATACATGCTCCGTGGCTTACAGCTTAACCCCTCAGACTAATGTGAACAGACTGTACAGCCCCCTTTTTTTTCCATAGAATAAGCGATCTGTGTATTCATACTTATGTGCCAGATAGCCAAAGGCTAAACTAAAGCAGACAGACTGCTATACATATTTACATTAAACACCATGAGGACATGGAACAATGCTCTATCGGATAATACTATGCCTTTAACCTCGCTCTGGGGACAGATATGTTAAATGTTGGTTATGTACCCGTGTGTTTGTTAGCAGTGTCTGTGATCTGCCTCAGCTAAAGAGTTGGAAAGAGGACGGGGTAAGCACATAGCCAGTAGCTACAGTGTGTCAGCACGAATAACACAACAGAGGAAGAGAGAGGAGGGAAACATACATATGCAGACGCACCCTCTGCAAGAAAGAGTGTGTGTGTGTATGTGTGTGAGGGCTGCAGATAATCAACCCTCATAAGATTCAGTTGAGGAAGAGCGCTGACCCTATTTCACCTGGCCTTCTTTTCCTGTCTCTCCCCACTTTCTCGCTCTGACTGCAGAGAGCTTACACAGGTCTTTTGTAACACTTGAGGGATACTCGCTTCCTCTGGATCTCAGTTTCGCTGTCACTTGGCCAACAATTTGCTCCTATACTGAATTTTTTATCACCAACAAATTTTCTCTGGAAACAGAAAATGCTGGCTCATGCTTTTTCGCATGTTTGGCGTTCTCAACATCTGCCTATAAGCACTTCTATACCCCAGTCTGCACTAAATGTGTGTGTATGGGTACGATCATATTTTCGTCCATGGTGTATTTTGGGAACGTTCTCTCTTTGCTCTCCCTCCTCTGCCTCCTGTCTTATCCTCTATTCACTTTCAGCACACACGTGCAGTGGCTACAAGTAGGAGTGACAAGAGCTGTTTAGCCACATGACATCCTTTCATGTTTGATTAGATGAATAATGTTACCGTGGGAGACACTGTTTTCTACCCTCAAAATCGTTCATTCTTGATGTTACGTCTTCGCGTAAAGAGAAAAAACCCCTTCAAGTCTTTGTTGCAATTAAATTAAACATCATTGACATCCTTTTCTTTGATAAACTGCGTCTTTATAGATGAAGCGAGTAATGCCTCTCTTTTTGTAAACTTCACACCTATCATCCTCATGGTGGAGCACAGCTTGTGTGTTTGAACAGGAGGTGGTGCAGGCAGTACATTTGAGCATCTTATCTGATCTAATGTGACCCAGATTTACTCATTAGTGTTTCAAGCTTCAGAATAACACATTTTATCACAATAGTAGGACACAATTTGGATTGAAATGAATCAGATTTGGCCCCTAGATTTTCTGACATGTAAAAAAGGTGTTTTCTTTACAACATGCATTTTTATGTCTCACCTTTTTTATGGTTCATAAAGTGATAATCCGTGAGACTTGATTTTAATTATTTGAACTTTTTGTGATAACATTTGTCAAATCTGTAATCTGAGTCCAGAATTATTCTCCATGTTTGTTAGCTTTTAGCATACTTAGCGGGTATTGCAGAATGTTATCCATATGCCGGCCCATAGAGCTGAAACGATTCATGTAATAACTCAAGTAACTCAGAAGCCTTGAGGCAAATCATTGCTGTCTTTGTTGTTTCAAAGTTAATTTCCATCTTTAAGGCCAGCGCAAGCAGCAGATCCTCTATATCTCTATTGTACGTAATGTGGTAGAATTATCTAGACATCCTCCTGATCAGTTTGGGAAAGTACTTATTAGCACCATGGATTCACTCACTTATCTAGCTGAACAATAATCCTCCAGCTCCTGATGGAAAGATTTACCCTCTTTCTTTTTTTGTTGTCATTTTTGGACAGGAGTTAAAATCACATGTTTCTGCTCATTCTTTTAATATCAACAGAGAAGTGTTGTTCCTTTTGAAAACCTCTCATGGAAGTATTCAAGTCCCACTATACCGACTGTAAATGTGATGATCCGTGTTTGGAAAAAAAACTAAAAAACTTCTCTGCTACTGTAAATATGTCTATGCTGGCCCAGGGCTAAGAGCAGATTCAAGGGGGCTGGGCCCATCCCAGTAATTGGACCCCATGAACAAAAATATCAATATATATATATTTTATGAATTGGGTCAGTGTTAACCTCGAAAATAATTCTGTTGGTATTTAAGTAGTTTAAATTTAATTTTGATTGAAAAATTTAATTGAGATAAACAGTCTCCCTTTGAAAATGGTTTCTTGGCCAAGATACGGTGCCTTTTAACAAAGGTACAGACATACAAAACATACAATACTCTTGTTGCTAGTTAAGCAGTGCACAAACTGGGTGCAACATGAGGTGTAGTACTGTACATAGCCAGAATGGATCAAGTCTCTTGGTTATTTGGAGGAGTGTTTTGGGTAAAAAAAAATAGTAACAAAAATGAAACAATAATGAAACCAAGTGTTAAATGCACCTGCAATCAGGGGTGTTACTATTTACACAGTCAATGTAAAACTTTCTACTTGTAACTCCTAACTTACGTCCCTCCATTGTGCCACTGAAATTGCACATACAGACCACTGTGGGCCCTGTTGTATACTCAATGTAAACCTTTTTGTTTGGTAGACTGATATTTCTTTTGTCTACCTTATGCAATGGTCAATTCCACATCAAGCTCCAATGTTGTGTAAATAGCATTTGCACCCACTTCACTTGTCTCCTAGCATTATGACAAAGCGCTGGGTATGTGGCTGATCTAGGGATGCCAGAAGATGAGGGCACCATCACAGCCATGCTTTATGACACCTGCTAAAAAAAATAAAGCCTTAGATGCCACCAAGTTTCACTGTGATTACATCTGGATTGTTTCTCTGGATTACATGCAGAGACAAAAACTCACTCACACATCTAAAGAATAACAATCCTGAAACATAGCTCTTGTTGCCACTGACCATAGTGCTTCCAGATATTACCCAAGTCTTTAACAGTATCCATTATGTACACAGTGAATGGTACCTTCCATTAATGGGAAATTCACAGGGTCTTAGTAATTATTAGATAGAGTCCAATACAATTTGCCGGTAGTATTTGATAACTAATGGAGTCTGTGCTTCCTCTATTTTTTCTCTCAAAAATTAGGAGCTCATACCTCGAAAAACATCCAATTTCAGGGAGTCAACCAGGACTGATTTTTTTCACAAATTGTTTTTGTCCTGGTTCATTTCAGTTCACATCACAATGTTTGTGCTGCTCTCATTTGAAAGCATGTTTCCCATCCTTCTCCAATTCTCTTCCCCCATCCTCAACCCCTACTGCTTCTCTTATCTTATTAACAACTGTAACATTCATAACCTGTCCTTCTCCCTATAACCTTGCTTTCCAGTCATCCATCTGCTTTTCTCTCTCTCTGCCCTTTACACCTCTGGCTCCTAATATATGACATGTCCTCTTCTCCTCCCTCTTCCCATCCCTTGCTCACTATCTCCTTCCGTTATTACATTTGTATCCATCTCATTCCTTCTCTTCCCTTTCCCTCTCTCGATTCCCCCAGTTTTTCAGATGTATGATTCATGGTTCCAGCGCTGTGACAGAGACATGAATATTTTACAAGAACCAAATATAATTTTTTCAGGGGGGAGAAAGTGGGGGAATAGAGGAGACTGAGAGAGGAAGAGACAGAGCTAAATAAAGTTGATTGTGTTAGGTAAGCCCAGTGGGGTGCTGGTTTGGCCAAGTTGTGAAGTTGTGGGCCCAATGGACAGTGGCTATAGTCCTCAAGTGGGTTCTTGTTTAGCCTGTGGCACTTTCCCCATTCCCCACACTGTTTCTTGCTGTAGTCCCTGTCCTATACTCTCCAAATAAAGACATAAAAACAAAAAAAAATTTAATGTTAAATAAAATTGAAAAAGGCTTCTGTGTTTGCTGTTGAGAAGATTTTCAACAGCAAAGTTGAAAATCAGTTTTTTTCCACCGTCTAATTATGGATCTTCTTCATGGTACATGTTGAGACCGGATTTCATTAGAAAATTTTCTCTTGTCACAAGATGATTACATTTTCAAACCCAAAGACTATCAGTGAATTTTAAGTTTCATTTTATATTTTTGCTTGAGTAACTGTTTTATACTTATCAAAATCATCTATATGAAAATTTGGACATTTGGATTTCATCACTCCCTTACCAGCAAGGGAGCCAGTCACTCACCACTGTCGGTAAATGAGCATTGTCGGATTTCAGAGTTTGTCAGATATTCATCAACCACATGAGTGTCTGGGGATCCTTCCACTCTCACACTCAAAGCTCTGCAGCTTAAGTACAAGCACATACAAAGTCAAAGTCTTTCTTCTTTGGTGAGAAATTTATAAGACTTTAGCTCCATTCACACAGGATTTGACCTCTGATCATTTCATGACCTTAGATGAACCATTCATTTAAAATACGAGTATTTATTACCCTGACATTTATTTATTATAACAAAATTTCAGTTCATTTAAAAATTGGTTCAAAACGTATCCTAAATTTTAGACTGTAACACTGACCTTGACTGTTTAATTGTTAACCCAAACTAAAGTTAGTTATGAAGTTCCACAAGGATTGCTGCAAGGACCACAATGTTTTTCCTTACAAGTACTTTTTTTGGGGGGGGAATTATTGTAGTAAACACCTTAAAGAGTTCATCCTTTTGCAGATGATACTTTGACATACCAACCAGTAAAGAGTCAGCTCACTATCGTCCCCCCCTCAATGTCAAAAAGACCTAAAAAACTTTTTTTCTGCAACTTTACTCAAACAAATCTTCAGTTCTCATGCTTGGCCTCAAACACTGAAATGACAAGTTATTTTTGATCCAATCATTTTGGGTATAATCACATGAAGATACAGTATCACAAAATTGGTCGACTACAGGGATCAGACTTAATATGTTGCGATGCATCGTTTCTCTGTAATGGTGGGGTGTTAAAGCTTTGCAGCTGAGATAGCGAGAGCAGAGAAGTCGACAGGGAACAGAGTGATTGACAGTTAATGGGGAGATGGATGATCAACAGCCTATAGAGGACAGATGGTGGCAGGGAATAAATGCACACACACACACACACACACACACACACACACACACACACACACACACACACACACACACACACACACACACACACACACACACACACACACACACACACACACACACACATAACCGTGGTACAAAACGATTACTCAATCAAGGGCACCTTGTGCTGGCTGAGAATATGGGAATGTGTACGCACACATGCACCCACACTCACACAGTATCACTAAAATAGATGTTGCTGAGTCGGTGGAAGTGCCAATCAAACTGTTTCTCTTCTTGCATAACTAAACTTAGCTGTAACTGTGAACATCATCGGTTCCACAGTATTCTGTGCTGTGATAAGATTTTCCCCACATTCTTCCGAACCGGTTTTTGACCAATTATTGTCTGTTTAATCTTTCAGAGCTGCATTATTCTCCCCTTGCTGGTATTTTCCTTCATATCTCTCTTATCTTAAACTATACATTATGTTCTGTGCAGTATGTTGGCAATTTAACCTTGCTTAGGGTATTGTTTGCACTATCTTAGGTCCTGGCTCCACTTGGCTCTCATGGCACTCCTATTTGTCATTCCTTTTTCCACCTGCTTGGAATACCAGATTTGTAGAAGTTGCCGCATTACGCTCAGTTAAACAATGTTTTTGTCAGGCAGAACAGCTTAAGGTAAAGGATTTAACTTTTTTATTTCCTCTCTTAACTGAAGAGGTGTTTAGCAATTAAGAGTTTTGGTTGCATTTGCAATATGTAATGGATGTGAATGAAACCCATTTCCAATGCTCAGAGCACTGAAAATGATATGATTTTATGTGTGACCTGTTTAGACAATTAAATATGTTTTGCTTTATTTGATATACAACAGCGGTGAAGTTTAACCAAGCTGAGTCACTCAAGAGCTTGAGTCAGTCGAAGACAGTCATTATGGATAAATCCTTCGAACAATCCTTGAAACTTCTGAAGGACAGGCACTGACATGTTGTGCTAAGTGGAGCTGTGGGACTGACTTTTGCAAATCAAAATACACATTTATTGTCATTGTTAACGGGAAGGTCAGACTGCGCAAGGTTTTTGTCTGTGACATTGGTTTCTGTGTCAAATCAGGCAATTACAAAGCCATAAATTCATGCCATGACTTGATTGGCAGATATAAAACACTGAATGATGGTAACTGACTGATCATCACAACAAATGTTAAGACGCTGGAAAAAAGAGGGGCTGGGTTAAACAATGCTCAGATAAGTCCTTACTAATGCTAACAACAGTTATCAGGGTACTGAGGAGCATCTGCCATGTCTTGCCAACATTTCTCTTTATTCAGCCTGTTGTGGCAGATCTAAGGCAGGGATGTTGTTACCAAAGCTCTTCAGAATTTGACCACATTTCGATTGGCCTTGATTGTCCTTCACTATGACACACTAAAGGCTACAATGATCTAACATTCAGTGTTTTATGCAGATGACTATCACCCGTATTTGGCAGATTGGGCATTCCAGAGAGGAACTTCCAGTTAGTCAATCTTGCACTCCCTGTCAACAAAGCAGTCTTTGCTAATCTTTCATCTACACATAAATAATACTGTGAATATTTTATGTGGAAAATGCAAAAATAGGGCGGTTTCTTTGGCTGCTCCTTTGACACCGTTCCAGCATTAAAATTACAAAATAAAAATAGTTATTGTATTTGTCATTTTGGACTTTGGATCTTCAGGTAAATTAAACGTGTAAATTATCCATCTGAAAAATAAAAGGCTGAATATGAAAGCAGCAGTTATCTTCTGAGAGATTTTCTCATTTTAAGTAATACGTTTGTGAGTAAAATATCATATTGTGTCTTTAAAACAGTTTAAAGTTGTTGCAAAAATAGTTGCTTCAAACTGTGACTAAGCTAACCAAACACACATCAAGGCGTACTCAAGGCCTCTTAGAAATGGACTTTAAAGCAGGTCATGAAATCTCTTTACCAGATTATATCAGTTTACAGATCAACAATCTGCATTTGGTTTGACTGATTTTCAACAGGACCAGATGGCAATCTGCCTGCTTCTGTATCCGTCTCTTCTTATAATACGCTCTTCCTCACTTAGTCATACACACACACACACACACACACACACACACACACACACACACACACACACACACACACACACACACACACACTCAAACGCACACATATAAGTGAACATGCATCAGAATCTTTAAAATCAAGTGTTCATCTGAAGAATCCTACATTTCCATTGCTTTCAATTTTACCTTTTCTGCAGCTGCTGTGACCTCAGAGGAGGATGCCTGCAGACTGAAATGAGGGGCTGAAAGGGAAAGGCAGAGAAAAAGAGAGAGGGGGTGTGGGAGGATAGAGAAGCTGGCAGAAATAACAGTGAAGAGTGATGAGACGTGAAGGGAACACTGGATGAGGGTGAAGACGGGCAGTTTGGTGGATATACGTAAGGCAGAAAATACAGTAAGGTTACCAGGAGGTGAAGGAGCAGCATGAAAATTCCTGAGGTGAAGATAACCCTAAAATGTAAACAGAAAAAAATATTGTAACACGTGTTGACTGATTTCATTTTGAATAATATTTGTGCTAAAGTGGAAAAAAAAATGTTAATTTGCTGTTGATGCTATGAATGGAGTCAGCCAAGAAGAACCTACAACTGCAGTCCTCCCAGTGTCCGCTAGAGTAAAAGCCTGTAAATTTAACATCACAGCTGCCACCTTTGATTGTTGATGCATAAATTACGATGTAATAAAGGTCCAAAAGAACCGTGGGAAATTAGATCTTTGAGTTGTTCTCTATTTTGTCCCTCTTGGCATACTGTAGTTAAGGCCCTTCATCTTCCTGCTCCCTGCTACAGCAGCGATTAGGGCAGTGGTTCTCAAGTCCAGTCCTTGAGGCCCACTGTCCTGCATGTTTTGGATATTTCCCTGCTCCAACACACCTGATTCAAATGATCAGCTCGTTATTAAGCCATTACAGAGCTTGATAACGAGCTCATCATTTGAATCAGGTGTGTTGGAGCAGGGAAACATCCAAAACATGCAGGACAGTGGGCCTTGATGACTGGACTTGAGAACCACTGGATTAGGGTGACCATACATCCTCTTTTACCTGGACATGTCCTCTTTTCTGAGGGCTGTCCTGCTTTGTCCTGGAAGTTTATAAAATACTTTTATAAAACTTCCATTTTGTACAGAAGTTTCGAGTTTGTGTCACATGGACTAACTGAGTTAGAAGCGCTTAAAAGACACTCAATCCGAAAAACTCAAAATTAACTTTGTGCGACTCTGTGACTTCGCCCCCCACGTAGTCGTGCTCTCTTTTTGGGAAGTCAGAATATAATCACCCTAGCAGCGATAAACAAAAATGAACACCACTGCGCTTCTGAGCAGCACATTTCACTTGAGACAACTCCTTGATTATTCTGTAGACAAGTCTAAAAATGTAGTTTGTGTCAAACAGAAAAGAATATCACTGAAGTACTTCAGATCTGAGCTCTCTCTTACAGTTTCTTGCTCTACCCTCTGTCCTATCCTTTTCAAATTAAAAGCGTAAAATATCAAAAAACATTGTTAAAGACTAAAGTTCAAGCTATTTCTTTAGGACTTTGGACTGCTTTGAAGTGGAAGATGAGGGGTTTCAAATGTGATTAAGTATTGAACTACAACAATTTTAAAATTAGCCAGTCAAAACAGTTTTAAAATTGGTCATTTGACAACCCCTCAATGTTTGTTGCCATTTTATCTGGTTTTCTATTACACAGACAAATGTAACATCTGTATGATATTATTTCATTAATTGTATCATTCAATTAGACAGATATTTTATGTAAAGATTATTCATTTATGTACCTGTATACTTTAGGCCACCCCTTGGTGCCCCAGTTTGGCCACACTAGTTGAAAAAGTCTAGTTCCACCCCTGGACGATGACCATGAATGTTTAACATCATGTTGCATTTTAAATGGCGCCTGAATTGGGATGTTTGAATCATAAAATTCTGCTGCCTGTGAAAGTCAGACATGATCAAAGAGTGGGGAGCACCCAAGGGAGAGCGAGTGAAACAAAGACAGAATATGTGATGGCCAGAGCGAAATAACGAAAGATTAAAAGGAATGAAAGGGAGGTGAGGGGGGAAGGTGAGTGAGACATTAAAGGAAATGATGAAAGGATAAAAGGATACAACGTAGGAGACAACAGGGGCAGAATGGTGACCCAAAGAAGAAGGTGACAGGGGAGAATATGGGAAACTTTAAAGATAAAAAAGAAGAGTGTGAAAAAAAAAACAGAATCTGCACGGGAAGAGAAAGGGAACGAGGGAGTAAATGTTGAACATTAAACCGGGTTTTGGCATCAGGAGCAATAATCCGTCTTTTTGTCAGCTGAGTTATGCCAGAATCACAGGATTCTATTTTACTTCCTCTAATCTGTCTGCAGCCGAATAATGAACTGTCTTCCAGCTCAGGTTTGCATTCGCAGCACTGTCTCGTGTTAGATAAGGCGGCACAATAGGGTTGACAAATAGAGCTTGATTCTTTTTTTTTTTTTTACGTGCATTTGCGCAAAGACAAATACTCCTGAATGTTATTTACTTCAGATCCCGTTCCAGCAGCTCGATATCTCTGCATACAGATTAAAAAATGGAAACAGAGTGACTTGGGGAACAGAGATAAAGGAAATACTTGCATAAACATGACATGATCTCTAGTTAACATGGAGATTACACACAACTTAGCCTGCTTGGCCACCGTGACCCTGCTAAGCCATGCTAACGCTAATAGCTAATAACTATTACACGCCAGCTGCCTGCGCAGCCGGCTTTAAGTGTGTCAACTTTCCTCCTCCTCTTTCTCTCACTCCCTCGAATGCACTTTTTGCAACCTCAAAGTATCCGACCACATGCTCCCTCTCTTGCTTAAATGCTTACCACAGTCAGATTTTTTCCGTTCCCCTGCCTCCACCATCCTGTTTCCCATAATCACTGCATCTCACTCTCTTTTTTCCCTTTACCCCTTTTTCACCCCTCTTCTTTCTCTGCATCGCTCTGTCCTCCCTCTCCCTCTTTCTTTTTCCCCCCCAGCAGGGGTGTCATGCCGTCTCTGGCACGTGAGCTGAAGCCCAGATGTCTGCGTTGGCTGCTGCTTGAATCTAGGTCATGTTAAAAGAGAGAGAGAGAGGGAGAGAGAGAAAGAGAGGATGGGGAGGAGGATGGGGTGAAAAGTAAAAGGAAAGTAAAAGGAAACGGGGAGCAATAGGAAAGGCACAGGGTGAAAAGAGAGGAGTGAGAGGAAAGTGCACAAAGTGAATGAAAGCCCTCTAAAGGGGAAGTAGAGGGTGAAATGAGGGGGCTGGATGAGTGAGGAAAGAGGGGATGGTTACTTCTTTAATGAGGAGGAATCTGGCGATGCGGCTGTGATAAAGATGAGGATGCTAATTGGGGGGGAAATAAAAGTTTAATTTGGTATTCATCAGCGGAGTGTTCATGTGTGTACTCACAGAACACATTTACCACAACTATCCAGCAGAAAAATTGGATCATTTGTGGTCCCGGCTTTGTACACCTTTATTCTGTTAACTCTAAGCCCAATGAATCTGTTGTGTCTGCTTGCAGAAACAGTAAAGCTTACTGTTAAAGTTCACAATGATTGTAAAAACTTCCCTGCAATGATGAAAAAAAAAAAAAAAAGATGAACAACGCCAATGTAAATTTAAGTGCATAATTAGTATGTTTAAATGCACAGTGAAGTCGAGCTGCGGCCATTTAACTGGACCACTGCCCTCGTCCAAGTTTACACGCTCTGGGCAAGAATCAAATTATTAACAGAAGCATGTCTGCCTCCACTACAGTAGGTGTTGAATCCCCCTTTAAGCTTGTTACCATTGGGTTGTCTCACAGTTGACCTGTTAGGTTTTAAAACAGCTGACATAATGCATGAGCAAGGAGCTAAAGGGGATGTAACTTTTACAGCTCTGTGCTGTCTGTTAGGAAAGTTTTGTCTGGACATTTTGTTTACCACCAGATTTGCTGGCAATGCATCCATGTTGTAAAACCACCGGCTAAGAGCCCAGCAATGCAAAGTCAAAGGCGAGTGCAGAATGCTTAGGCAGGTTTGATTGAGGCATAAACGTGACCCCAACCACATTATCACAGTATCTTAGTCTGACTGTGAAAAGTTTCATTAAGTGCAATTCTAATTCTGATTCTGAATTTCAGTCAGACTGACGTTGTTATGGGATTTTTTTAAGTCCAGTTTCAGTCGGACCAAGGAGATAAATCATTGTTTTGTTGCCTGCCTGTAAATGTACTGAATAATATGAATGTCCAGTGGTTGGCTTGAAATGTATCAATAACATGTCAAAAGTGATTGGTACATAATTCGTACAAAGTGTCAACTATCCTCATGGTCCATAAGGTTCCCAAACAATGACCTCCCTGTAAGAGGCTGTGTCTTCTCAGGCAGTGCCCACAACTTTAACTTCAAAGTGCTTCTCACCATATTTACTTGATGCTGGGTCACAAAGTTGACATGCAGCATTACCAAGTTTTCCTTGGTAATGACCGTTTGATAATATTTTCTTTCATTCAACAGCAATGATTTATTTTTGGGCCTTTTGCCTTGGTTTTAAAAGGACATAATAGCAGATGTAGAAGGGAAACAGGGAGCGGGATTGGAGAGTAACATGGGAAAGGAGCCACAGACTGGAAGTGAACCTGCGTCAGAAACGTTTATGTCTATGTGGACACATACATTTGACGCTCGGCCAGTGGTGCCTCATTCAACAGCATTTTACATCCCTCCATTACATCCCCTCCTGATTCTGACTGGTTCTTGGTCAAGAAACGACACTGAAAAGCACAGGCAATATCTGGGTCAGAGAGGATGCAGATGTTTAAGGTCTTTGCGGGGTTATGTCCATGGTTGGGTGTGCATCATATTGAAGCACAACATCTCCATTCACTGGGATGTTGTGCTTTTTAAGTGTATGTGACATAAATGAGTAAAACTGTTTTTCTTAACTTCAATAATTTATTTATAATGCATTCAAAACCTGCCCAACTCATGAAAGAATCAGTCCAAATTGAGTCCACCAACCCCAGCCTGTATTATCCTGCACAGTCCAACCAAAGACCACTAAACAGGACAGCACTGTCCCTGATTTTATTTCAATCCAGTAAAATAATCTGTGGAGTCAAATCTGGCTTTGTTAAAGAATTTGTCAATTAAAAAAGTTCCTTGATGCAATTTAAAGGTATATTTTGAACCCTTAAGTTTTAAACTCTTCTTCGCCATTTCGAAATAGATGAGACTTATCGCATCATTTACGAAGGACAACAAGTTAAGATGAATTCTGTCGGATTACAACCAAACGATTGTCGCAAACACAGACCTACGCACACACACTTAGTCACTGAGACGAAGACACAAACCTGCACACGGAGAGAGACTGAGGATCATTTAAACAGGCCATTACATTGATAGATGGCTGTGGCAGTGAGGATGTCTAAATGCATCCTCAGGCATTATTCAGAGCAGCACTGACTCTGAAGATCCCAACACTTCATCATCACAACCATTTATATGGGCTACTTAAATGACTCCATTAAGACACACACTCTCGCTCACACACACACAGAAACACAAATACAGCCTCTTACATAAAGCGGTCCCTCTGTGTGTATCACTGCCCATAAGAAAATAACGCAGGTGCATGCATTTGTATTGGCGCAGCTCAAAATGGATCTGACATTTAAGGTTTTTCAGTTTTGATTGATCCACTAAATTAGCTGTGACTATTATCAAGACATGCATGATTCAATAGTAGAAATGTTGACAAGAGGCTTCAGCAATCCATCAAACCTTGTTTTATAAGCCCAGGGCCAGATTTTCAGGAATACAGGATCTTATTCTGCCTCATTAGAAAGCCTTTTGAAGAAGGTCATGGATCGTAATTCTCCCTTGTTTTCAGCTTCATTTAAAGAGTTTAGTTTTCCTCCTAATTGAATGAATTTAGACAGTTTCAGGTTTTGTTACTGTTTATCAGGACTGAGCTCAACAAACCTCTTTGTGCTTTCAAATCAATCAATAATCTGTTACTGCTTTTGTATTGGTTTTATTTCTCGTCCCTGTCCTTGTTTCTTTAATCTTCTTCACTTTTTTGTTTTTTTCCTTCTTTTCCTGTATTTCCTCTTTTCTCTTTCCTTCATTTTTTGTCTTCTTTTCTTTTCTACTTTCCGTCTTTCCCTTTGCCCTTTTCTTCCCTTTTTTCTTTTCCATCTTTAATTTCATTATAATCTGTTCTTTTTCTTTCCTTCTTTTTATTTTTTCTTCCCATTTTTTACATATTTTCAATTAAAGACATCCTCTCTTTGTTCCTCTCTTTATTATTGCAGTCATTATAAATTCATTTGTCTATTTAAGGTAAGAGGAATAGTTCGTCGCCTAATCCTGTGACAGTACTTGTGATAGATATGGAGTCTTTTTAACTTCCCTTATAATTAAAATATCACATGACACAAAAACTGAACAAATAAAATAAAATAAAATAAGGGCCACATCATTTTTTTTTGCATGACAAAAGTACCAACCTCAGCTCCCTGCAGTCATCTGTGACCTTGTGGGCACAAAAAGTATAAAAATTGACTATGACAACACAAATGTATTCATCCATGTGATTTTTATCTTTGGCAGTCAACTTTTAGAGTGATGAAGATGAAGTCAGTCAGCATGCAAAATAACGGGGCCGGGTATGTTTCAGATACATGTGCACAGGGGTGCAGTTGGGGATGTGAATTAGAGTGGTAATCATTTCAGTTTGAGTCAATGATTCTCAAACCCCAAATGTTTCCAAAGCACATTAACACTCACCTCCCCTCTCCTGCTCTCTATTTACTCTCCTGTTCCTCTCTTCATCCATCTATTCCCAGCTATTCTGAGCCTTTTGTTCAAACAATGAACATAAATGCTGTGCTGTCTTTCTGTTTTTCACCTCATAATTTACAGTCACAGCCTTTTAGCTAAAGTCCTTATTAGAGTGACGTACAATCAATACTGAGGTAGAATTATCACAACAGTCAGCAACATTCGGGGAAACCAATCCGACTGAGGAAAGCGCAAAGAAAAAGAAATCAACATCTCATTTAATGGTGAACTTTTTATGCTATCCCCTCCTCTCTCTTTCTTTTCTTCAACCCTCCAGCTCTTTTTCACTCCTTTCTCTCATTCTCACTTCCTCAGTTCCTCCTCTTTTTGACTGTCTCTGTGTCTTACCATTCTTTCCATCATTTTACTCTTTTCTCCATTTCCTTCACCTCTTTTCCATTTAATCTGCAATCTATGCGATGTTGTCTTTTTATCATTCATTTTACCAAAAACTATATCAGATGGTGGACGGCATGAATGCTCCTTAATAATGAAACCAAAGACTTTAGAGCTCCTCCTGGTGACTGTTTGTGGTATAGGTCATAAAGCCTGCCTGCTCCATGTAGACAGGTGCTACTCAGGTTTAGGGGGCGCTCATACCAAGCATGAGTACAATCATATACTCGCTTTATTCACGCAAATCTAGATGCGCAAATGAATAGTATTTACTAGCTTCATTTGTGTGTGCACCCACACACTGACGTGATCAGTTTGTCCTCCATTTTCAAATCCAGTGAACAGTCTGTTTGTCTGTTTTCATACGTCACCAAGCAACCTTCGTGCTAAGTAGTTATTGTTATGCGAATATCCACTCAAGTTGACATTTGCGTCATTCGCGCCGCCAGAGTCATAGGAGCGTCTTTGCATTGACTTAACATGTAATTCATTCCTGTGAATGTTTTTACTCATGCTGTGTAGAGACAGTAACTTTAAAAATTCAAAATACATGTCAGAATAATTTTGTCTCCAACATGACTCATGCCATACTGGTCTGAATCAAGTGCAAGTTTCCAATTTTCAAAGAATTCGGGTTTAATTAGTTGTTTAACCTTAAAAAGGGGGGAGAAAGTGACGTCATGATTAACAGTTCTGCTGAAAAGTGTGGCTTCCTAAAATAAACTATATTACCGTGGCAACCATCTTGTGATGATGTCATGCTCATGGTAAGAAACTTAATCATTGTTATTATGTATTATTACTGTCTTTCAGGTGAAAAATTCAGACAAATTACAGCTATTTTACATCTTCCAGATTGATATGTAGGCACAACATATTTGACAGCCTGTTAACTACCTCAAAGTCAACATTCTGAAAGTAGTAAATGTTTGCACAATATCTGTTTCTTTTTTTACTGAAATGTTGGCTGAATGCTAATATGAGCTGTAAACCAACAGGCAGTCAAATAGGCATGTTTTTAAGTTAAAATATGGCCCTATATCTACAGTATAGTCTTTGTAGCTGCTTAACAATCAGTGAGCGGTGAAATGACCCGAGTGTGTCATGAATTATACGGTTTATGACCTGCAGGACAGTAATACTAGCATTCCCTGGCCTCGGCATGCTGTCACAGTAAGATGGCCACCATGGGAACATTGTCTTAAACAAGAACAAACGTGGCCCCCCCAAAATGACTCATACATGTCTGTGTACCATCGATGATGTTTTCTTCTTGGTTATACGCTATACCATGCTTGCCCTTTTCAAAATCATCATCTCTTTAAGCACAAGCTCTCTATCCTGTGATAAACTATGACCCCTTTTACTGTGATAAGATTGTGAGAGATGAGAAAAAAAGATTTACAGGGTATGCAGAGTTTAAGAAGGATGCAGATGATAAGGAAGATGGGGAGTGTGAAAGACAGAGTTTAGGTTTCTTGATGTGAAAGGAGGGTAAAAAAAAGAAAACAGTGAATAAGAGTTCATAGAAAAAAGGGGCGTAAATGTAGAAAGTTCAATATGCTAACGTCGAGTGACTGTGTGATAAATAATGGCAGGAAGAGGGGGATCAGGATGATAAATAATGATCCAGTCTGAGAGAGAAAAGGACAACAATCAGTGTAATTAATGAAGGGAGAAGAGAGGGAGAAAGAGAGGGAGGGAGGAGATGGCGCACAAATAAAGAGCAGATAAATCACACTAAACAGAGGAAACTAGGAGGATGGGGAGAGCAGAGTCATCGGAGAATAACCTCCAGTGAGTGCAGTATTGACTTCCGACAACAACATGTTCACGCATCTGGATTTGAACAGTAAGAATAAATGTTATCACCATGAAACATCCCTGAAGCTGAAACATAGCATTCTGCTTCCAGAGTCAGTGTTTTCCTCCAAAGCTGCTGCTGTTTTAACTGTAAGGATGTGTCATTTTTATAACAGTTATCGCCTGCAATGAAAAAGACTTGACTGGTTGACCTTTACAGTCCAGTTCCTTTTAACAAAGAGCTTGTTAATGAGGTGGGTTTGAGGAGTCTGTTCACACAAAAGCAATAATATGATAATCCTCATTAAACTGAAGTGTCCAATGACAGAAAATACTGAAGCGTTCGCAGAGGAATTACTCTCTAATGAAAGAAACAAAAATGTAAACGTTGCTGGCAGGGAGGTTATTGGCTGGTCCAGACTAATCAGGACATTGTGAGTGGAAACACAGACAGCTGTTAATTTATTGTAATCACTCTTAATTTGATTTTTAAATCTTAATAGCACTTCAAAACAAAAGTTCATTTACTAAAATTATGTCCCAGTGGAGAAAAATAGAAAACAATTAAGGGTAAAAACTAAACAGCTTTATTTTGTAAAGAAGTTTAATTATGCAAATAAATCCATGTACCCCCTTTCTTTTCTCATGGAAGTAAAAACTTTTTATTATATTTATTATTAGGCAAAATGTAAGTAAAATCGGAGGTAAACAAAAGTCTTTATACTGGATGTTTTGTACCGAACATTAGTCTAGTCATGAGTATGCTGAAAAAAAAAATCCATTGACCTTTATTTTGAGGTGTAAAAAACATTTAATTATGCAAATTACTGTTGGAGTAAAGAAACAGATTGCTGCTTATTTCAACAAAAAAACATTTTGCTTGATGAGCTCTCAAATAAATTCTCTTTATCTTTATATTTTCCCAGGGGAATCTCAGAATAACAGTACTGTATAAAGGAGAAAAAAAAAACAGATGGCCCAATGCTATTATAGAATTATTTTCAAATGTTACAAGCAGCAATTACAAGAAACAAACAAAAACAAAACACTTAAAATATGGAAGAAATTGAGGAAAAATAAATGGATGTTTATGGTTTATAAAACCTCCCCGAAGTGCACTTATGATAAAACTCTGTTAACTTTCATTTGCTCTCATTCAGTGAAGGCAAAGTCTTCTAGTATGTTGAGAGTAAATCTGTTGGCTTATATATGTTTGATATGGTAGCCTGTGCGTGTCTCTATAGAGCTTCAAATAAGTTCCCTTGACCTCCATTGTTTAAAGAGAATACAAAAATTAAAAGAAAAAAACAGATGAATTAGTATATTATGGTGTTTTTTCTGTGTTAAGAACAACTCAAAAAACAAGTGTAGAAAAGTTAAGTTTAGAAATATATGCTTTGTGAAGCACTTCAACAAAATTCCATTTACCTCCATTATTCTCCATTAAGTGTAATATCTTCGAAAATATTTCCTGAAAGAATAAAATGGAAATATATTCTTTGATAAAGGAAATTTCTCCAAGGGTTCAGAGCCCTAAAGAAATAAATCTGTTTACTTCCATTATTTTCCACTTTGAGAAAAGTCTTAGAAAATGAATTATTCTGTGAGTTTTCTAAAGTCATTTCTCAATGTTATAAGCCCCTCAACAGAGTTGTACTGACTTTCAAGCAAAACTTGGGAATATGATTTTGGAAAAACAGATGGGATTACTAATTTCATTTAATTTATCTCATTTGTTTCTTGTTTATGTATCTATCTAATTTCATTCTCCTCCATTATTTCTGAATCGTGGCAAAATCGCAGAATACTAGCAAGAGAAACAAAAAATAATAAATGCCTTCTAGAGAGTCTGTGCTGTGGTCGCCTCAACACAAAAAAGGTTCCATTTACCTTCATTACTTGGGTATGGATTTAAAATCTCTGGGGCAAATATCATAAACCAAAAACATTCTGTCCTTTTCTTCTCATGCTCTCTCCCACCTAAATCCTCCTCAGTCCCTCAGCAGATTTATGTTTTGCCACTGTGATAACGGCATCTTTAGGCCTTTAAGAATATTGGGCAGTATAATTTTATTCCTGGGCTGTTAAATATGAGTGAGAGAGCTTGTCATGCCATAATAACTTGCTTGAAGACAGAAAGGAAATGAACATTTTGCAGACCAGTGGCCCTTTGGAGTTTTCCTAAGCATGAAATGAACAGTGTGATTGAGAAGACATGATTTTATGGCTTATTGGACTTCACACATACAAGAGCGGATATGAGTGTGTCACAGTCTTGTAGTTTTTTTTGGGACACATAAAGAAACTTTGAAAGAAAATTAGAAGTGATAGCAAAAATATGCTTCATGGTGCATTCAGAAGTATCAACTCTGTGACATGTTTGTCTGTCTTGTATTTTTGATCGTGTCTTTTATGTATTTATTGAGCAGCTTGGAACATTTACTGAAATGGACCTGTAAATCACTCTCACTTGTAGATAGAAATGAGAGCAGCATTTATTGACCAAAAAATGTTGAATAATAATGTTAACGCAGGAAAGCTATTGGTGTCAATAAAGCTCTATTTTTCTTCTATTTTTGATCCTCTCCTTTCTGACAGGACTAATGAAAAATGGAATTCAATTCCTAATCTGCAAGGTGCAATTATTCTAAAAATTAAGCAGAGAATTTTTCACATGTAGATTATTTGGTTTGCATTAAATTAATCTTCAGTTTTATCTACATGACCAACATTTCTCATTTTTAGAGTTAGGGGTTGAAGTGTGGATGTCTTGGTTGGCACTTAGTACCCCTTGTTAGTCACATTAGTCCAGACAGTAGTTTTTTTCTGTTTAGCCTGGCACAGCTTTTGGAGCTAAATAAAATGTAAGCAAATTCTCTATTATTTACAAGATGTAAGGCCTTCACCAATTCTCTTTTTTTCACACCCTTCTTTTCCTGAATTCCTGAAATTATGTCTAGGGGTGTTTTCGAATTAGCCAACTGCATACCCCTGCCGACCGCAGTCTGCAGTAGATACTGCAGACAGAGTACTGTGTTCGATAGTAGTATGCAGTATGACTGCAGGTCGGCCGTTATTATGTAGTATGCTTGGCCTGGTTAAGCTGGTTTGCGGTACGGAAAAGTACATCATACCCTGGTAAATTGCAACAACACTACAGTGTTGCACATTCATTTATGCACTATGAAAAATCTTGTATGTGTTTTAATTTGATTTTTCTGGATTTTTTAGCCCAATACCAGCCATCAATATGTGTTCTATCCATGCAATGACTCGTTGATCTGGCGGCATTTGATTCTCATCACGGCACAGTAAACACAGCAAAGTTATGTTGTCAGTTATGTTGTCCTTGTTTCGCTTAAATGAAAGAAGTTGCAATCCTCTCTAAACGTGTTAAATGATGGCGTCCGTTCGGTGTGGTCTTATTTCCCTTGTCCCGATGGTTTGATAACTACAGTAAGAACACTCTAATACAAACTCCTGTCTCCTGTCAATTTATTTCAAATTCCGTCCTGGCAGCTTATTGAGTCAGACTGCTTAAACGTTTACTCACCTTTCTGCATTAAAGCTTTAGACCCCCTTGTAATGCCAGCTGCCTGTTCAGTTGTGTGGTGTAAACATCGCCGATGGCATGCACTGTGTGTTGTAAATATCACGCGTACCATACAGCCAAAATTTAAGGCGATGGAAATAGAGGATAAAAATTGTCAGCATCATAACAAAACATTGCATTCTAGTCAGTGGTTTGCACACATAATGCTGAAAGAAGGAGGGGAAGACAGGCTGAAGAAATCTTTTGGCTGCCCTCTTAGAAAATGAATGCTCCGGTGAAAAGTTTTGCCGCTCTCCGCTATTCCACCGTCTGCTCAGGGGCTTTGCATTGTGAGTAACAGTCGGCGAAGGAGACTGGTCCAATGCATACAGTGAAATTTTCCCGAATCAGTATGTCATCTGGGTATTTTCGGCATACTGCAAATTTCGCATTTGTTCGCCTACTGCATACTGCACACTAAATTTTGGGCTAATCAGTATGTACTGCTAGTATAGTTGGCGAATTCGAAAACAGCTTTGGTCTTTGGCATGGTCTGTATAAAATATTGTATACAGTCTCAGTGACATCACTACTAACTTTCTGAGGAGATGTTCTGAGGTCCAATGATGACAGTTGCCATATTGAAAATGCTGACACAACTCCACCTTAGGTCATGCCTGTCATTTTACACAGCCAGGCTTCTTTATTATGCAAATCTATGGCATGACTCTTGGTTTTGAATCTCAAACTGGATGATATAAAAACAATCACTCCTGGTACAGTATGTTCAAATAAATCTGTGAGTTATTTTGACCCAAACACGCTTCACTTTGCTGTAAGAGGAAAACAAGCATTTGCTGCTGGACCTCTGACCAGCCCTGGAGTCACATTAGGGTCATCCTGGAGGCTTCAGAGGGTTTGCAAACCCTGGTACTCCTCTGAAAACTGGATTCTCATTACTTTACTGAACAAGTGAAAATCCACTCTTAAGTCCATCCATACTGGAGTGTTTCTATGATGTTGTATATACAAAGGCTTTTCGAAAACAAACCAGATAACAAGGTTGTAGCTGTAAGAATTTTCTTGACCCTGTAAGCTAATAAGAAGTGTCTGGATACATCATCAAACACATGCGCGCTATGAATCCCTCGCCTGCTTTTCTGTTAAAAATGCTGCATTTTGTGGCCCCTTATGGAGAGGCTTTTATTTGAAATGAAACAGTCTTGACAACCAACACTGACTCTCAAGGATTTTTCTGTCAGAAGTTGCTCTTTACAAACCAATTTCTCCAAACACTATTGTGTCAAAATGCTTTGAATAACCAAGGGAAAGGGTTGTTAAAATCGTCTTTTGTATAACCAGACTTTGATTTCAGGAGCATCACTAGTAGAGTAGATAATACAGTGAAAGGCATCTTACATAGAAAAACAGGGATATCTATCTATCTATCTATCTATCTATCTATCTATCTATCTATCTATCTATCTATCTATTTATCTATCTATCTATACATATACGTATAATCAAATAGACTATAACAACTTACTATCTGGATGAAAAATTGGAGCTCATAAGAAATACCTATTAGGATAAAAAAAAAAAAGCGCTGCAGCAGAAACAGACTGATTATCTTGTAGAGGTAAACATGTACCCCAGAGGTAGATAGTGAAAGAGCAATATCATCAGTGCATCTGTTCACCTGTGTGTGTGTGTGTGTGTGTGTGTGTGTGTGTGTGTGTGTGTGTGTGTGTGTGTGTGTGTGTGTGTGTGTGAGAGAGAGAGAGAGAGAGAGAGAGATACCCCACATGTATGATGCCTGCCTGCAGTGCGGCCCCTCAGTCCCAGCCACAACTCCCAAATTTTACTCCTAAATGCTTCCCAAAATACAACATGCCTCTGGGGGAGTGTCACAGAGAGGCGAGAGAGGGATGGAGGGAGAAAAGGGGAAGAGAAAAAGAGTATTTTTACCCTTCAGGGGGGACTATCAAGACTGAAACAAGGCTTGAGTAACATTATGGGAGGAGAAAAAAAGCTGGGCACTGGTGATTAAAACGAGGTGAACAACTGCAGGGCAATTTAGATCTATCTTGGCTCTGTTTTAAGTGGTACCTTACAGGCTCATATATATTCATTTGGAGACAGTTATTGATGTTTTAATAATAGAACTGGCTGTAAAAGGGTAGCTAATCATTTATAGACTTGTAATGGCCTTATTTTTTCAGTTAAGGCTAATGTTTTTAAGCCTTGAGAAAAGCCTCTTAGAGAAGCAGATGGGATGTTTACATCAACATATGGATTTCTTTGAACAATTTTCCATGGATCCGTGTACTTTTGGATAAAAGTGATGACATAGTAAGGGTGGATATGTAGTTGGGCAACAGACGTGTGGAAAAGTACAGTCATTCACCAAGACAGACAACAAACTATGTTTAACAAATGGTAAATAAAATCCAGATGAGTGTGGTCATGCAAAAACGTCAGATATCAAGATTTTTTGGTTCTACGATAAGAAGTGTTCTCAAGCCAAAGACAAGCACACAAGACTGCTCTGTATGAGACCTACATCATAATCAAATATCCAGAGAACTACATCCCATCAGAAGACTGCACCGGAATACCAAGGTAAGGATCACTTTGTGGTCTGGCTTGATGTAGGAAAGTTATTTGTTTAATAATAGTTGTGATGTGAACATGAATTCTCCGTCTCTTAACCCTTATTTCCCATCCACAGAAATATTTAGGCCTTATTGCATACAAAATGTCCATCCATTTGAATTACTTAGATGTAACATAAACAGGCCAATAAACTTGATGTGCTGCATATATGTCAGTCAAATGTAAATGAAACAATTAAGAATTACATTTATGTAATAATACCAATAAACCCAAGGTGTTTAGAATAAACAATTAAGATTTATGTATTCATCATTGATACCCCCAATTTGTTTCTGTCTCAAAAATTTTAACTAAATTAATCTCGGTTGATCCACAGCTCATCATATTTAACTATATTCATACATTTTAACAGATTAAACTGGACCGTTTTCAGAATAAGAGAATTATGTCGATTTTAAGAAATTTTAATGAATAAATTCTAAAAAATGAAATAATTTAAATACAATTAAATAGATGTAAATAGTTAAAAATAAAGTATGTTTTTTAAGTGCGACAAATGTTTATGTTATTTGAATTCTTATTCTTTACACCATGAGCTTTAGAGCAATACAATGGGCTCTATTTTGGTGCCTCGCCAAAGACGTGCCGCAAGCGCAGCGTCAATCAGATCCGCCGCGCTGACAAGGCGTTCCCAAGCACATTTTGGTATTTTGGTGAGCCGCGCAGCCCGGCGTAAGTATCCCCCCTCCCTAACTCAGCTCCTCCCGGCAGCATAAGTCATAGACGGGGAGGAGAGAGGGCGTGGAGTCGGTTTAACACAGTCGAGACCTGTTTTCACCAATCACATAAGCTCCTCTCCTTGCCTTTAAATCCGCCACCGGCGAGGCGTATTACTATTTTCATGAAGTAGTCAAAGAGATCAAGAGATGTCTGAAGACAGTTATGCCACACGATGGCGACAGAGGGCAGCTGCTCAACAAGTGTCCTCCACACTCTCTCATCTGAGCACAGATAGATTTGGTGTGCGTAATGTTGGACCCACTGGTAAGACAAACACCCTTTTCCACAAAAAAGACACTCACATAAAGTTGCATATATTCAAACCTCACGTGACAAAGGTGGGTTTAGCGCACAGATCACAACATAAACTCCAAAAATGGCATTAAAATCGGAACCATCTGTGCGTAAATGACGCATCGCGCTCCGTGGCCTGGCTCTTTCTTTCATAGATGTTGGCATATAAAATAAATTTGGCCCACAAAACTGAATATTATAATATCCGTATGTCGGCTTAAAGTAGATAACGCATCTGAGCACTGAAACAAATCAGCTGTTCAGCCGCAGCAGCAAGCAAGACGGACAGAGGACACGGAGACGTGTCCAGGTCGAGCTGTGCGAGAAATAAGAGGAAGAAAGAAAAGGGGGGAGACACATTACATATCTTGTTAACTTCATCATGTGTGTTTATTTACTAGATATTTAATTTAATTTGATGCAGTTTCAGCTGTATTGATTCGGTCAGGTTGTGTGCCCAAACGCGTGCCAAACGCGCTCATCAGATCAGATATAGATCAGAATATATCGATATAGATCTAAATGTATGTGCTGACTCAGATTAATAGTTGATGATCATTATTTATTGCACTGAAATCTGCCTGACACTGTGGAAACCTGCCGGTGAGGCATCAGTGAGGTATGTCGATACGCCGCCGGTCTACCAAAATACTACAAGACCAGCTGCGTTCCGCCTTGCGCTGAAAGCTGACCAGGTTTGAATCGGCGAGCTTTCAGCGCACTTTACACGCCGGTGGCGAGCACGAAAATGTCACTGCGCCAGCTGATTCTGTCAACACCTCCCCCTGCCACGCCACCACGCCCAGCTTGGCGGATCTCGGCTCGCCTCCGTGCGACTCAGTCCACGAAAATACCAAACTCGCCTTACGCCGGGCTCCGCCAGACGAAAATACAACTGCGCGGGGCTCGCCGCCCTCCGCCGCCTCACCGGCGCGAACGAAAATAGAGCCCAATATGTTATTTTTTCACAATTGATAGCAATTGAGCATCTGCCTGCGCCTGTGACTCTGCGACACAGCAGCATGGTGTGTATAGTTACATTGTACAGTCATGTTGAATGTTCATCCTTGTTCTTCTCATCCTCTTCCAGTTCTGAATGTCACAGCCCAGTTTGAGTCAAAGGATAAGAGCAGCAACCTGAGCACTGTTGTTCTCAGGCAAAGGAAGCCATTTTCTAAGGTCAGAGATTGCATGTCTGTTAAGTAACAAAATAAAGAAAAGGGCAGCTGAGAGAGAAGAAGGAGGTAAGACAGCGAGAGTCACCAAATTTTAAAACAATTGAAACCGAATGGGTTCTTACCTCACCTGAACATGCCTTACAGGGAAAAGAGAAATGCAAAAATTAAATCCTCTCTGCCTTACCTAAACTTACCTGGAAAAACATAAATACAGCAGAAGTTTAAAGCTCCAAACTTAGAAAATAACCATTGAAATGAAATCTACAAAAATACATACCTCAACTTAGTGCCTAAAACCCCAAGAAAACTTTAAATGTCTCATTTCACAGAGGTCAAGTTGTCTAATATTTCTTTCATATATGTTATTTTCATCACTAGGTTGTCATATTACATCTTGGTTCTCGTAAAAATTAAGGAAGCATTCGAGTTAAAATGAGATTTAAATAATTCCTTTGAGCAAGGTTTCTAAATTTAAATTCTCGGTACACACAAACGGCCGTTTTAATGCTTGTATCAGCTTTAATTCACTGTTTCAAGCTTAGTTACTTGCTTGGTAAAACTAGAGTAAATGATCTGTAATCTGCATGAGACAGAAAGAACCATATCAATAAAACTTTGGATCTTAGTGTTTAGTATATGATTGTGTTTCGGTGTTGAGTGATCAACAGTTTTCTGCTTTTGCTCAGTTAAATCTCAATTTACTCTGAAAAAAGTGAAAGATGATTTACAATACTGTGTGTATGTGTGATTTTACGAGTGGATGTTGATGTCTTTGGCCAGCTATAAAGACAATGGCACCGTTCAGGGCTTTTCTTGGCAGACTGACAGAAACACTGATGGCAAGTGATTGGATAAACCATGCCTGCAGGAAACCCACACGCAAACAAACACTCACATATGCGCACACAGGCGTATACAAAAACACACACTTTTCTTTATCCATTCTCTATAATACTTCCCAGTTTCTCCCTGACCCTGATCTTATGCTTTCTCTCTGATTGGGCACGTCACTCATCCCTTTGCTGATGCTTGATTCTGATTGGCTGACCGTAAAGGTCATTTGTTTTATAGCAGAGGGTCAGGGTTTGAAATTGAGATTGATGACTGTTAAGGGCCATACAGAGTGTGAGGCCAGTTTATAAGTTACTATGACTGGTGTGATATATGGGGCCATGGCTGACCATACACACACACACAAACACACAAGTGAAAATAAATGAGTGTGCTTCTCAGACAAATTGACTTATTCCAGTTTCCACGCCTCCTACCATGTTATGGATGTATTGACAGATGGAGATTCCCAGTATATGTATGTGTGGGAGCTTGTGAATATAGATTTCTGGATTACGTTGGCATGTTTGTATGATTCTATACATGTGTGCAGGTAGAGAAAAAAAAGTTTAGGTCAAAAGTCAGAAAGAGAGTAAGAAATAAATGAAGGGTTAGCCTTGATCCATCGACCAAAGGCTGGTCTGTTCTTTATAATTCACACACAACACATCAAACATGCATACATGTCCACAGGATTTCCTAAGCATTAAACCCTATTCCACTACATTAGCTGAAATGGTGGGGAAAAAATGAATCAATGAGAATGTGGTAGAGGGTTAAGATGTCACTTCAAATAAAACATTCATTAAAGCCAAAGTAACTTACTCCAATGTTTCAATTGTGATGACTTTGCAAAATGCCCATACAAACTTTAAAGTCCTCTCAAGGAAAGGTGTCCATCACTGCTTGGTCCCCACAGGTACCTAAAGACAAATGTACAAACACACATATATGTATTTTTTATTGCGAAATATCAATCAATCATTGAAAGGAAGTACAGTTTTCCTGACTCCTTCCGAAACTTCTCTTCCTTCTCATCTGGCCTTCACCCGTACTCAACAAGACAAAATGGCCATCTTCGGTTACCTCTCTGTCACACTTCTTGTCATCAGTTCAATATCACTTTTGGAGGACCGAAACTATGGAATGATCTGGATGCATCTCTAAAATCAATATTATCCTTCAAAACCTTTAAAATATAATTGAAATCTCATCTAATTATGTCTTAAACACGTCATTATCTGTTATGTTCATGTTTCTTTCCTTTTTATGTATACCTATATTGTCTTTATCTCAGGTTGATGATTAGTCTATGTTTTATTTATGGCAATTCGTATATGTTCCGACCTTTTCCTACTCATTGTATATTTATAACCTGTCTATGTCCTAATCACTTTGTTGTTTGCACCCTATGCCTTCACTGCCCTGATGGGAGTGGAACTCTGTCTAAGCCTATCAGCTTCATTCCCTCCTTGCACTGTTTTTAAGCTGTGCTACATAAATAAAAAAATGAAATAGAAATAGAAATGTCACCTGAAAATTAAGTTGTTAATAAGTTAATAAGAACTCATGTAAGCATTTTATTTGTGAGGACTTTGAAAAATATTCACGTGAAAAAGTGCTAACAGAGTCCTCAAGAAAAAGGTTATCCATAAATAATCGGTCCTCACAAGTACACTAAGACAAGCACACACACAAAATACACACATATTCAAAATGAGTGTCTTCATAGTTATAATTCACAAATACTGATGCACACACTTTAGTCTCGATGACTCCATAAGAAATGTGAGCATTCACAAACATGAAACTGCACCACTGACTGGTTCACACGACACGTTTACCAACTTAGGCTGCCACAGGCTTGTGCATTAAGGTCTATAACCCGGGAACAGTCAACATTGGTAAGTCACTAATTCAGATTTGGGAATCTTTACACCCCCAGTTGATACACTGACATAGTTGACCCATTGAACACAGCCCTGTGCCATCCTGGCCTCAGTTTTCATCTCTTTCATGCCACCTGTCATTCCACACTGAAACAATCCCTAGAGCACAGATGCAGATATAAGCAGATGCATTATTACATGATATTTTAACAACATTGTATTAACAGAAGAACAATTTTTAAGCAGGTTACTATGCTTGTCAAAGGTAGATTTGCTTGTCATCGTGATATAATTTGATATCAGTGTATTGAAGCTAACAGAAGCTAGCTGCCTGACTCAGATCTTTTATGTGTAATGGATTTGGTTGCTCATCTTTTTTTTTATAAAACAGATCTAAATTTCAACCAACATGAGCTTGAACAAGAAAAAAACAAGAAATCTGTGAAAAAAAGGGAAAAATGAATAAAAAAATCCATATCTATTATAACCTTAGTGTCAACGCATATAGTACGCAAACAGCATGACTCATGCCTACTGCTCTGTCAGTGATGTAAACAATCATTGACACGTCCACACACACATCACTTATCAAGCTTAGAACCCCCAATGAGTGACTGCTGCAGGCAATGACAGCACATACACTCTCTACACACACATACACACGCTCACACATTTTTAGACCCAGTAATCTTTCAAGTCAAATCCTTATTATTTACCATGCGAATTATTACTCAGTAGGGCCCAAGGGTGTGCGTATGTGTGTAGGTCCATGCACGTGCCAAAAGTATTAATGTGTACTCTAAGCTTCCTATCCAGATTTGGATGTGTGTTTTGGTGTATAGTTGTGTGTGAGCATTGTGGCAGCGTTTCACTTGGACAAAAACTATGTTCAGCAGTATCGTGCAGTTCGATGTAAACACTCATCATCCACACCACAGTGACCTTTAAGCTGAAAAGCAAACATGAAGGAGTGTCAGTCTTGCTCAGTGTATTACGGGTGTACTGAAGTCAACGTATACATGCAATGTAATGCATGAATTTCATTTGCTTGTGCGAATGTTTTCAGAGAACGGACCCCACTGTTACTGGAGACCAACACTGTGATTTCCAGAGTCATCTTTTATTAGTCTGTGATTCCACTGAAATAACTTTACAAGGCTGATAGTTTAAAAAACTCTTCACCTTACACTGGTGCTCTATGAAGACCCTGAATGTAACCTGACACAAGCCATTACAGCTGCTGCCTCTTAAAGCCTTTACGAAGCTTATTGCATCATTTGAAATTTTCTTGACAAACTTTGACCTACTTTATTTTTTGCGATTGCAAAAGTGAGGTAATCGGAACTGTCCACACATGTTGGATCCCAAACTCAAACACAGGGAGAGTATATGGACAGCAGGGACACTGGCAGCAACATCAACTGAAGCGCCTGTAATTGGTTTATTACAGCTATTACCTGCTTACTGAGGGACATAAAAGTGGATCTCATGCTTTGATTACTAGTCTTAAAAATTACTTATCCATACAAGCCTCAGTATTATTGGGTATAGTAAAATTTGGTGTACAAGCTGTACTTTTAGCACCTTTTCTTCATCCAAAGAGTTGGCTGTGTCCTCTGCACTGTTGGACCAAATACCAAAGTATAAAATGCTGAGAAAGTTCAATGTGTTGCATTTATTTACCCTGAAAATAGCACTAGAACAGCAAAAGTTTCGTCACTGACATGCAGCATCATGACCACCAGAATAAGTGCCACCATATACTGTGTATTTAAAGCTTCTGCTTCACTGTGCGAAGCATGCTGAGAGTGATGGGCAAGTTTTTTTGTAAAATATTGGGCATTAAGCTACAAGTTACTCTGTTAAATTTAACGATGCTACACCAGAGTTATCCCTCCAAGAAATCTTGTAAGCTAAAATACAGCAACATGGCAAAAGTAGCTCAATCTAGCGTTTTTGTATCTTGTATTTATTGAGTATGATTTCATCTAAACATTTTTATACTGCCTAATTTAGTTCAAAGTCGATTATTAGACCTGATTAGCTGATCAGCACGGCAGGCAGAAGAGCCCAAGCATGTGTTTCATCCACTAATAGTGTGAAACAAAAAGAAAAAAAAGGGAATTTCTGATGGAAAAGTGCTGAAATTTTTCTCAGTAGAGAGTACTCTTATGCTAAGGGTTGGGTATCGTTTGATTTTGAACGATACCTCATTTCGATTCCAGTTCCAAACGATTCTCTATTCTGATTCTTTTAAAAAGCAGGATATTAAGGAAAAAAAACAAGCATGGTTTAAATGAGGATGCTAACTGGAGTTCTTCTTTTTGGATAAAATTTCTGATCTTCTCCATGAATTTTTAAATTATATTCACTTTTTAAAGAACTTTACTTTGAATCTCTCACAGGGCTATTTTCAACCAGAATATAAGTATCAATTTTTGTTGTCAGGTCATTTGTCTATGAAAAAGTACAAGGGCTAACATTAGTTGGATATTTAAGTTGACCCACCGTACATGGCACAATTTGTTCGCTGCTTCAATGTTAGCAGAACACAAAAGTAATTTATTGTTTTACTAATTTGATTCTGGCTGGTTAGCAGATAAAGCGCATCAAAGACGGGCACTTAGGCATTTCTCCTCCATGAATCCTGAGGTGTTTAATCATGTTGGGCGTTCACCCTCCTTTGCATGATATAACTGTGTTGCTAATGTTGCACTAAGATAAGAGTTCATTGTTCCTGCTGTGGCAATGTCCTCGTTGGTGTTCGGCTACTTCTTCCAGTCGGCGGACTTGAAACTTGGAATCAAAATTTTAAAATTTGAACGGTTCTGGGAGAATTGGAATGTTAGTCCCGGTTCCCATCGATGCCCAAGACTTGATGCCCAACCCTACTTACGCTGAGATGAGCGCTTGGATCAGGGTCTCTTAAAACGAGCTAAATGACATGGTAGACTTGAACCTATCTAAAGAAGACTATAACCTTGCTTGCGTGCCGGCCCTCCCAGCACTTTCTCATGAAAAAGGGCAGAGTTCACCAGCATTCAGTGTGACCTGTACACTTACCAGAGACATGTAACCCATACAACCCCACTCTAAAAATACTGGATTATCTCTTTAAAGACAAGTGCAACCCAGTTTTGCAGAAGAATCTTGTGCATTATGATGATGATGATCATATCCTGCCACATTTATATTCCTTGCACCAGAAGAAGTGTTGCACTTGCAGCTGCGGCAGCCTATAGCTTTAGGGAGGATGAAAGCCAGATATTATTTTTTTCCTCCATGTGGTTGTTTATGTTCCTCTTGTTAAGCTCTGCAATGCGCCTGTAAGTTGCAAGCAGGGGTTTGGTAATCCTGTTCCCCCTCAATCCCCTTTACCTCTTATCTCTATACTCCCCTCTGCTCTCTAACCTTCATCCCCTTCTTCACCCTGCATCCTTTTCTTTTTTCCTCAAGCCCTCCATCTTTTTATCCAGATTGCCCTCCAGTCGCCCTGCTTCCACCAGCTCACTTTGTTTCTTTCCTTCTTTTCTTATCCGACTCTCTGTTTCCAGTCAATCTTCTCTTTGCTGAATTTCACATTCGTCCTACTTTCCCCCTTTTTTTATTTCTAACAACCTACTCTGCCGCCATCAGGCATCAAGCACTATCATTGACTTTCGAAGGATACTTGCTTTAAAATGATTAGCGGCACTTTTATCTCTAAGCCTGTTTGGAGTTCCTATTGCTGCACTACTAATGGAAGCTCTAAGCTTTTTAGTTTTTATTTCACTTGGTAAGGGCTAGTTTACATAACGATTTTTATCAATTATACAAAGACTTAAAAAGTTTCGAATATCTCTCTTGTAGAACTCTCATATTCCAGGGAGGTTTGGAAATATTCAAAGCCAAAAACTTTTCAAACTGAACAAACCCTTAAATCTGGAACAGTGAACAGCATTTCATGTGTCTTTTGGGAACTTTGTCTGAGGATTCTGAGTATTTAACAACCTTTAAATTCAAATGAAAACCGCTAATTGTATTTTTAATGCAATTATAACCACTTTCACAAAACATTTTGAATGCAAATTCTTCCTTGTGATCAAAGTCATTTTTCATTCTTTGTGCTTCTTCTTTTTCAGATCACCTTCGAGCTTGTTTAAAATCAGTAATACTCCCATATATACTGTATTCAACAGCTTATGTGATGTTGACAAGAGGTAACTATTAATGTGAGAAGGTGATTTTTAGATAAACATAAGGTACTTGCGCTTTAGTTGAAGGAAGTGCTCAGTGCTCTCTTAACACCCCAAGTTACATAAACCACCATATGGTCCTAAATGTCCCCCAACACCCAAGCATTAAGATAAATGGGAAAGATGGGCGGCAAGAGCATACACATCATTAGAGTTATCATGGGTTCATTAGTATTTCATTTACTTGGGCCAATGACTCCTTGGGGAGGCTTAACAGTTAGCTGTGGTGTCACTGAACCACCCCCCTTCATGATAGTGCTCACCCCCTGCCAAGAAAAGTACTCACCAAAAATAGAGAAGACTGACAATGAGCAAGAAAATAGTGTGATAATGTTTTTTGTGGTATTTTATAGCTACAATAATTGTGAAAGTGAGAATGTGATATTGTGGAAGCCCTCTTATGGTCCCAAATAGAGCTTGCAATTCTCCATTGCCCCTCCAGGACATTGCGGTCATAACTTGCCAGCCTGCACCTCAAGTCTTCAAAAGTGGTCTAGGTGGTAGAGCTTTCAGTTACCTGGGTTCTCTACTCTTGAATCAACTACCAGTTGAGGTGCAAGGCCAGACACCCTCTCCACCTTAAAGAGGAGGCTCAAGACCTTCCTTTTTGATAAAGCTCATAATTAGAACTGGTTCAGGCCTGGGCCAGCTTTTAGCTATGCTGCTAGAGGTTTAGACTGCTGAGGGTACAGGTGCATTGAGCACCTTTCTCTCCTTCTGCATTTCTGAGTATTTTTGCGTTCAAATCTCTTTGAAACTCTGGCAGACCCAAACGGCAGCCTCAGATTCAGTGAGATTTCCTACGTAACAAATTCAAGCTCCACCCCCGAGGCCCCGCTATGCAAGTCAGGCTCGGAGAAATAGAGAGGACAATTGCGGAACAAGCATGTGCGTTAGCGGATTGCGATGTTCGTAAGAAAGCTAATTATGTTATTCTCTTTTATCATGCCCCTAAAGACATAAGTGTCCGAGAGCTGAACAGCTCCTATGCTACGTGCCACTTCTACTACACCAGCAACGACAGGCTGCAAGCTAGCGTGAAGATGAGTGTGCAGAGCAGCGCTGTCTCCGCCCACGACTCAGAGGTGAATTGCTAATAAGCTACTGGAGCTCTGCAGAAGACAAGCGCTTGAAAATGACACAAATATTGCGATTGTGGCTAAAAACGTAATAATCACAATTTAAAAACCACAGATAAAGCTAAGTAGTAAAAAAATTGATCGGAGTGGGACTTTACCTTTTGGTCAACAAGTCCCACTAGAGTTGCTAATACAGGCTTTTCTGGGAGTCCCTGTGCTCCGTCATGCCGTAGGTTCCTTTGGATCACTGCTGCAGACGTTTTGCTGCTGTGGACCTGCCTGCTTTCCATCTTCTTCAACGACACGTGTCAGTCTCACCTTTGTCCATATCGCTCTTCCTGCATCTTCCTCTATCCCCTCTTTAAGCCTAATTCAGTAGCAGCAGATGACTGTCTTGCCCTGAAGGAACTTTTCCCTCTCCACTGTAACTTGAGAAATGCTGCAAAGTTTTTCACTTCATGTGGTTAAAGGTGGGGTAGGAGTGGGTCTGATCTTACAAGATGGGGCTCGATCTTCTCCCATCTTTATATTGGGTCTAAACAGAGTATGGTCTAGACCAGCTTTTTTGCTAAGCGTCTTTAGATAACGATTGTGAATTGGTGCTATATAAATAAAGATTGATTGAAATATAGACAAGTGTGTATTAAAACCCTCTCAGCCTGGTTATGCTGGCGCTCCATGAGGAATTACCAGCATGCGTGTTGTCTTTACTAAAGAGCAGCAGAGACAGGCACTGGTCTGAATTCTTAGTGTTTCGAATCTGCATATTTTTGTGTATGTTTGAGTGTCATTAAAGCTACACCAGAGGAGGTTGAAATGGCGTGACTGCCAGAATTACACAGAGCATTTACTCATTTAGCCCACTCCTACGTTCTTCTAATCCCACAGTGTAGGTCTATTGCTGCATTTAGAGAATAACACCAATTTTCAAAAAGCAGGAAGGATTACTCACCTTATTTAACTTCCATTTCCTCTTCTGATGATAATTGAATTGATTGTAATGTTTTTAAATGTGGAGAGAGACTGCTGAATAATCTATGAGTCAGAAAACATGGATTCAGTTATTATTTTGGGATATAACTCACAGTGGAATAACAAAACAAAAGATACTAAATGGATTGTCTGTGTTTTACTTTTGAATGAAGGTAAATAAATGAAACAAAGCAGAAAGAAAATGAGTTCGAGCTCACGGATAATGGAAGCTTTTTCCCAAAAGTGGCCAAAAGTTTTTTCAACAGGGATGTCTGAACTTCAAATTACTACCCTGAAAGACATTTTGTGAGCATTAGTCCGATGTTTCAAAGGAAGTAAGTTTTGGGGGGTTCTTATGATGAAAATTGGTCAAAATTGAAGTATGATGCAAGAAAAGACATTTAGTTGCCCCCAATTATTACAGCTCCAAATTACTGAGTTTGTCTATTTAATAAGGTGAAAAGGATTGGAAAAAATGAAAAGGAGAAAATAAGGTTGAATTATATATGAAATTAGGGAAATGCTCACAAATAGGTAAACGAAAGGAGCAAAAGTTAAACTTAAAAAGTCATTATTTGAAATTAAAGCAATGAAAATGAAAAGTCTGTTCCTTCATCCATCCAAGGTGTTAGTCTGAATAATCATTGTACCCCAGGTTCGCTGACAAAATGAGAAGATTGAAAGGAAGTCAGGAAACAGATGAAAAGATTGATGGCGAAGGGTGGGAAACAATGAGAAGAGTGTGAGATTTTTCAATTATCTAGGTGAGATCAATGGTGAGCTGTTTATTGATCACACACTCAATATGTTAATCAATACTGTCTGGGGTTTGACCTTAAACGTAGAGGTGCAGAAACAGAGAACAAACACACAATATGTAAAAACCTGACTCAAAGTGTCGTATGTGAGCAAATGAATGGATATTTGGAAACAAATATACAAGCAGACACTTAATTCAATTCAAACTTGGGCTGTCACATTAATGATAGTCAACTTTATAGAAAATGAGATATTGATAATGTGCTAAAAATCAACATACAGCACTACCATGTAACTCATTGGTTTATAGTCGATTCTTTGAGCCACCTGCCATAAAATGGAGCGAAAGCAAAGCCCCAGAAGAAGACCTAGTAAGCAGGCAGCTAGTTAAGCTTTACCGCAGTACAAACCATGTCTAAGGAAATGACATGAAAGTGCAGTATTGTGTCTGCACACAAAAAAGAAGTGTCTTCCCTAGATTGGATGTTTTTAGGATTTCATAGAAAAGGCTAGATGTTTGTGGACAACACACAGTTCATGGGTTTATTTCATTTTACATTCATACCTGCCTTCTGACTAATCACCAAGCTGTGTTGAATACTTGATTCTGATTGTCAAAACTTTTGCAACGCTAATAACACTTGACCTCTGCCTGTTGACACTGGGACAAAATTATCAGCTTATGGAAATGTTCTTAAATGGTGAACACTGTGACAAACTGTTTTGGACTTTGGTAATATGTGCAGTTAGCTTAAGAAGCTACTGAGGCAGAAAAGTGAAACAAGACTACTGCAATCCATGAGACTGCAGCAAATCTGCAGAGGACATATCCAAGCTGCTGATCACGTCAAAGAAACTTAACAAAAGCAACCTTGTTAAATTTACTTAATTTATGTTTAAATGTGTGTCAGCTTTAAAGCTCTGATTGAGAACAGAAATGTCAACATAGATTTCCTGTGGGTATCCAGTTCCCCTTGTCTAACATTGCCTTCAATGAGATGTTGGGTTTAATATGATTTATAACAAATAAGCAGGCTGTTGCTTTGACTTGACCTTGAGTTGGAAAGCCAATTTAATGTTAATTTATCCCACAAGGTTGCTGATAAGAGGCTGTTGCCATGCAAGAGTTACAGGCTGTGGAAATGAAAAGTATTTTCTAGTTTTAAAGATGATAAAAAAAAAAAATAGTATTTTGTGTCAACTTGCTCATGTGTTAAGGTTGTGGCTGTACGTTTGGCAGGATAATGTATGGTAAACATGTGGTTATGCTAATTTGAACCCAATCAGGGTGGTGAGATAAAACAGGCGGCGATTTATAATATAATTGCCCTCACAGCGTCAAATTATAATCCAGGTTTTAATCTAATTCATCATTGTTGGCATTTGTAAACATCTGTAGTAGTCTATATGTCCTTGTCTTTTTTGGTTTTATCCATGACATTTTGTATGTGGACAGTAAAGTTGTGAAAACCAAACCCTATTTTTTATGCTGCCTCTCGTCCACATGTGTGTTTTAGTCAGTAACTGTGCAGTTTGTTAGTCACACATTTTAAAAATGATGTGATCACTCAAAGCATGCAGATGCTGCATCTGGTCCTGTCCATCTTATCCAGTTTCAGTGTAATATAGACCACGTGCAAACATTTGCATCCTATTTAGATAAGTTGCAAACATGGCATCCGGTCTAAATATATAGAAGGAATCTACTCACAATGAAACACAGTACCCAGAACAGAAGGACTAAAAGATTTTGACTCAAATGCACTTTCAAGATTTCAGGTTGCCATGCATGGCTTCCCGTTATATGACATTTTGACAGTTGCACTACATCTTTGTTCCTCATGTTGTGAAACACTGGCTGGTGCTGACAACCCCACAGAGAATCGACACAACTCTGCAGCTCAGAACAGCTTTTAGTTCATTGTTTTGTCAGACAAACCGTAACAATGCCAGCTCATTTCAAATTACCAACAGCAGCTTCCAGCTTTACAAGCTCATACAAGACCACTGTGCACTACCTTCCCAGAGCACAGTGGCAAAAAGCCAATGCGAACAAGTGGCTGGTGACGAGAGTTGGACTTTCTGCCAGCCTAAAAGACCCAGATATTTGTTGTTGGGAGCTGGCAGACCGAACTACTGAACATAAGTAAATAACGGTCTCTAATTGAACAGTTGAAAAGAAATAAAGTGCCCTTGATCATCCCTCTGCATGACAAAGATTCTACATTAAAATTTGTGAATTCACTTTTCAAAGACTTTCATTTTTACATTATGCATAGTTCAGTCTGATTTGCCACACGATGCATCTTATAACCCTCTGGTAAGATTTAGCAATGAGGAGGAGCACAGTGCAGCTCCGTCAATGGCACATACCTGCTGTGGCACGCACACTGAAGAGATACAAACCATAATCTGCCAATGAGCAAGTGAAAAAATGCTGAAGGGAAAAACTGAAGGCCAAATCCACCTTATTTGACAAAAAGCCCTCGTCCATTTAAATGATCAATACAGCTTTTACCACAAGAGAGATCACAAGGCTAAAGAGGTTGCTCAAGTTGCATTTGGTTTACACCAGTTGCCTGATTTATAACTTTTCATTGGTCAGAGGTATGACCAGGTTAAGATGAGCTGATTCTTCACTTGAAAATAATCATGCATACAAATACAGAATCTGTTGTTAAGAACATAGGTTTCTGTTTCAGAAGCTGTTTTTTTTATTGTCCATTAAGGTTTGGGTTATATTTAAGGTAACAGATCTGAAAGAAAATGAGTCTTTGGCTATCCAAGAGCAGCAACCATCGGATATGATCTGTCATTGATGCTGCTTTGTGTTAAACCCTATCATTGAACCTCTAAGTAATCAACCTTGTCTCTCAGCCTTTACTCCAATGTCCATCTTGTTTTGCCGGTCTAAGTCAAAATAATGGTGAGAACAAAAATCAAAAGAAAGCAGTGGATTAAAGTCTTATATTGCTTGTTCTATTCTAGAATATTCCTTTTTTTAAGCCTCTAAAACTTGGCACCATCTCCGGGGGCTGTATCTTTGAATGATAGCCAATTAGATTCAAGACTGGGATTTCCCCAGCTGTAACCATATCGAATAAATATTGTTGATGGGTTAGAGATTTCAACATTTCACTTTCTGTGACTTTTTTACTTTTGCCTTGGTGAATATTGATTAAAACCACAGAACCAAAAATGTTTTTTCTTGAATCACACCACCTGTTGTGATTTAACACAATGAACAGGCTTGCTTAGCCTTCTTTCTCACATACTATGACCTACATCAAGAAAAAAGGTGTTGGCACCATTTGGTTCATAGATTTAAAATTTGGATAGAAGGAAACAAACCAGAGGTCGAAAGGCTGTATGATGGGCTTCTTAGGCCAGATTTGGAGCCCAATTCATCACCCCTTATTGCTGATTTAAGGGTCAATGTAAACAATTGTTTGTCCAAATAATCCTGAAGTATGTAGTGTCAATACAACTCTTTTACCACTTCCAGCTAAGTGGGAGCGTTGCCAGTCTTGGATGATGGACATGGGTTGCCACAACTTAAATTCTTGTCCTTTAATTGTCTCCCTCTGATATAAGACAACTACATAATGTAGCAACACAAATCTTGTGTTAACATGTCCATTAGTGGAGAAGAAACCTGCACCGATGTTTAAAAAGGGTTGAAATATAAGTGTGCAGGTCTCCATTTAGGTCGAGAGTGTCATAACTTATGCATGAATGCGCGGACCTTGAGTAGTCATCTACTGCATGTATCCAGTCTATCAGGAAGTGTGCATTAGGTAGTTTGGTAGAAACAATTGCTCAAAACTTCTGACTATTTCAGTTGAAAGTCTGTCTGCAGAGAACACTTAAAAACCTGATTTTGTTTCTCAGCACTTCCTCAAGGGAACCAGCCTTTTTGCTGCTGTTACAGATAGTTTTCATTTGAAGCTTATTTTCCTGAGAATATTTTATGCTCCCACCTCAACACCAACATTTTAAAACTCTACATGTTGTCAAGGCTCTTTCTTTTTTCTCACCTTTCACAGTGTCTATCCCTTCTGCCCTCACTTTTCACTCTCCCTCTGTAGAGGTACTTAGCATGTGTAGCGTGTAAGCAATGCGGAGAAGCGTTGATTCTGTATTCAATTAGCCATGTCTGCCTGGGAACAAGTGAGCAACCCCAGCCTCTATCTCCCCACAGAGAGACAGACAGAGAGAGGGAAGTCTTGGAAAAGGTTTTGGGGGTTAATTACTCAATCTTCGGTACTATATAGATTCTAATACCACCATTTTGAAACCATTTCTAATTATTTCTTTATCAGTAGCACCTGTTTGTTTCCATAAATAGTTCATTTAAGGGGAGAGTCTCTTTGCGTATGTTGGCTGCGATTGTGTTTGTGTGTGTGTGTATACCCACATTGCCAAGAAGTGGAACAGATAACTTGTCCAAATGACTATTCTCTGTGATTTATTGCACCGCAGCCCTGCTCATTCCTTACAGCAAACACAATACAAACTCTGTTTACCTGTCCCTCTCTCTTTTCCTTATAGCTACCCTTTGATCTTCCTTACTCACTTCTTTCCTTCCTCGACTCTCCATCTCTCTCCTTTAGCTTCAAGCTTATTCTTTGCTTCACTCTATTCATCCATTAGTCTTTCAGCTCCTTCTTTAGCCTGCCCCACTCTCATTTCTGCTCTTTTTGAGCTTCTTATTGATGCTTAGCTCTGCATGCATGACCTCTCCACCTCTGTCTTTCACATTTTTTTTGACTGAGTACACTGATGAGTCATTATGAATTCATGTGCACTTAGTGTTTCACACATCGATTGCACTTGTTTTTTTTTATGCTGGATGTTGAGTCACATTTTCAAGAGAGGTGGAAGCAAACATTAGTCTGATATAAAAGGCTGAAAAACAACAACATATGTGCCGGGTTGGAACAGCAAAGGAGGCTGTACCACCCTGGTATTATGGTGGCATTAAGTGGAAAACCACCAATTTTACACGTGAAGGTCTTGACTTGTCACGTGCAGCAAGGTGACATTTTCGTTGAGGCTTTGAGAGGAGTTGGTTAAGTCTGTGAAAATAACAGCAATGGTGTCATCAGGTTATCAGCCACTAATGGCTAAAACCCACAGGATCAAGAACAGCTCCGGTCCAGTCCGATCCAATCCAGAACGGTAGGCGGATCAATTATGCAAAGCTTCTATTTGCACAGTGCATCAATTCAGTACAGCGCAGCATGAGCAGCAGCAAAAGTTGTATGTGGCTACAGAGTAAAATATCCGGTTAATTTTCAAAATAAAATAAAGTCAATATGTTGAACTATTTTTCACTCAATAATAAGAGAGGCCAGGGTTCTTGGATGTGGGTGTTTATATACACCGCTGTTTATATGTATCGATCGGCGGATCTCATTCAATATCTCACGGTGAAACGTGAGCTCTCGTCCATTCTTGCGAGGAAAATCAGTGATCTTGCAAGTGCTTCTTTCAGATGACGGCAGTGGATCGGATCCGGTGGGCGCTCTGTCATGGCGTATTTGATCGAATGCCAGTCCGGAGCGGAGTGGAGCCGTTCCAGATCCAGTGGAATCCCTGAGTAAGTCAAGGCTAACTGCATAACATTACAAAAAACACATAAGTCGCCACCTTTTTCAAAGTTGAACACTTTGAACACACAATAGAATTTGTTCATTTGTAAGCTAAACACACCTCTTCAATTTTTTCCTGTTTCACGATCTTGGGATGTAAAACTGCTGGGGTGAATTTTATCATCACTGAGAAAAGTAAATGCATTACACTAATGGAAATAACTGTAAAATCTGAAAAGGAATTACTGCAATTCTTCATCATGAGCTGTAGCTACTCTATTTCTCAACACTGATGTAACCTCTCTGCTCTATGCTGCCTGAGTAAATGTAAGTTCAAAACTCATAATCACACATAGATTTTCTGCCCCTCTCACATCTATCTCCTTCCCCTCTCTTGCTCTATGAACCTTACTTCCAACCAGCTGCTCCAGGAGATAACTTACCCTGCACGATTTGCTTCCATGTCATGGCCAAACTCCTTTTTTCCCCCCTCACCTTCTCCTCTCCTTTACTTTAAGTTTCCTTCACCCTTAATCATTCCCCCTCTTCTCTCCCGACTCACCCTCATGCCTCCAGGCCTTATTGCCTCCTGCCTCCCCTCTCCTCCCTTCTCTTTCCATCTCCTACTTCCTCTTCAGCTGTCCTGCTTATTCATTCTCACTTGGATCTCCCTTGTGTTTTGAACAGTAATGGTGGAGTCTGCAGCATCTGTCAAAGCTTTTGCTGGCCCACTTTGCATATCAAAGTAAGTGTGTATGTATAGAGAAAAACATATGCAGTCATACACTACATGTGTTGGTATATTCTTCTTTTGTATGTTTGACAGGTTTAAAGAGACTCTAAAGCTGCTAAGCTTTCTGTAAGACCAGCCAAGATTGAATTTTAAAAGGCTTTGACACAGCTCACACCATCAAAAAGCAGGTGCTGTTAGATTCAAATCTTGCCTATAAAAACAGACAATCGATGATTTCTTATTAAATTGCAACAAGCATTGACTACACAAAACACTTTGCACTGCATAATGTTCAGTCCACAATTATCCTTCTTCAAATACAAGTGTTGTTGATGGCAAGAATGCTTCTTTCATCTCCATTTAAGTCTTATAAACGGTGTTTACAACTGTTCTGATATATCTCATGAACAGCAGGCTGAATCTGAGTCCACAGTAAGCCGTCTTTGTTCAGGTAGATAGCACACAACTTTGCAAATGTCTCCCCTGTTGACAACTTCAAGAAGACAGAAAGAAAACCACTTTGAAAGTAATATCACAGTAAAATTATACACATTAAAATCAATGATTTTTTAAAATAGAAACAGATGTCCTCACTTGGTCAGTAAGAAACCGTAGTCCCTTGTTGGTATGTTAGGTGTGTATTTGTAACTGTGTGTGTGTGTCCTTGCTAAGTTGTTGTTCAGTGCTCTTTTATCAGGTAAGAAGGAACAGAGCAACAAGGGATAGCCAGAGCAGATCAATAGCCCTGATTAGGAATTCCTAATGGTTTTAAGCCAAGGTAATGCATATAAACATACTCACACACACACACACTCACACACACACACACTTTGGAATTGATGGCCTGTGTGAGGACTGTAGGGTACAATCATATCTATACCACTGATTGCAACCACAACTCTTCTGCCCTTCATCTAATTTTGGTCAAGAGAGTGATACAATTATTTTATGACAATTTATCAGCCTGTAAAACAAAAAATAATATATATTTTTTTATAATTTAAAAATATAGAACCAAAGATTTTGAACTTTGAAACACAGTTCACATAGTTCCCATATTACAATCATTTAAACCGTCCTTGTTATGCACAGTATTGTGACCAGAAATACACTTAATGGCATATTAGTTATTTAGTATTCTCTGTATTGAAATGTTGCATATTTCATTTTGTTAGAACTTTGCATTAAAAAAAAAGGGAACACTTACATTTTACATTTTAGGAGGTGATCATGGCTTCAAGTTTTTAAATTCTTTATAATAGGATTTGGGACAAACATCTTTTTTTGAGTTCTAAGTTTGGTTCTGTATGTTTAAGAGCCATACAAAAGAATTAAACAGAAAGCATAAAAAAGTGTGAATTATTTATGGGTGTGCATATATATACTTCCAGTTAAGTAGATACCCCAGGGGCCCGGCTAGAAGACTTGGACTTGACCCCACTTTTAGACATTATTATATCACTTTCTTCTCAGTTGTGGTGAATGGCTGCCCACCAAAGATTCTGACTCGGCTTTTAGTCTGTTTATTAATATAAAGTCTCTGTTATATATTTCTGTAGAACACTGTTTGGGTCTTTTTTAAAATACAAAATGTAATGAGTTAGCTTCACAGTGTAAATTGGTGCTAGCTTCATGTTGTTTATGGGTGCTAGCTGAATAAACACCAATGGATTGGTTAATAATTTAGATAAACAGTTGTTTGCCACTTGGTTGGCTTCTTTCAGCAGCTATTCCAATATATAACTGATCTTTTTTATAACTTCACCACAAATTTGTATTTTTGCTAAACACTGAAATATCTGGAAAGCTTGAGATTTGGCATATTTTGGGTTTTCATACTCAGATTTGTTAAAAATCCAAGCAAGTTTTATTTTGGCTGATCCCCAAGCACTTTCTTGCCTACCAGTGCGAGGGTTTGTCATTTTTATAAGCTACAGTTAGACTTTTAGGTTATAGCAGCTATTTGACAGCTTACATGTGTTCAGCTTTCAGACCTTTGGTAAGAACCTTACTTGCAAACTGGAAAAATATCACCACAAACACAAACATGTAGTACATCACGCTTTGAACATCTCATGTTCTTTTGACAAAAACATTTATGCCAAGACCACCACCTGGCATGGTTCACAGCTACTGCTCTGAATCACAAAAAGCCCTTTGGACTGCAATATTTATTCATTTTACAGTGTGTATTTCTTATAGCCTCACAGAGCTTAGTCTCGTGTTATTGCACTCTTTAAGGTCAGTACCTGCATTAAGTGCAAGACAGCAAAGCAATAACCTCTCATCACCCAAAGTGTTGCCAAAGCCGGGGCAAACAGCACTCATGTGAGTTATCACCTCAAGCAAGCAGAAGAACATGGTCTTAGTTTGGAACAATTTTAGAAACAGCTTTTCCCTCAGAGTACATTTATTCTAGTGTGGAAATAAAGGAAAACTAAAAGATTTGAAATACACATTCACAGTTTGAGCACTTAATTTGATTTATTTCAATTCATTCACAATGCTAACTTTGAGAGAGAGAAAAAAGCACTGCAAATTATTATTTTTTTCCTTTTTGGTTGTTCATTTCCAATAAAGCAAGGTTAAACAAGGAAAGTCAACAGTGTGTAATCATGTTACATCATGGGACTGTTGCAATGATTCAGTACTTACACAGATGTGAG